AGCGAGCGAGACACTTTTACTAACCTTTCAACCAACATGTCATATAACTTAATCACAACGCATTGAATTCAATCTACTCAATTGGATTCTTCTTCCTCAGAGGTTTCTATCTCTATTGTACAAGTTCGCGCATTATGGCCAGTGTTGCCGTAAATACCACACCGCCGCTCACGCGCTGCTGCCCTCCTTGAACGGCGACTACTTTCACTTATTTCCTGTCTTGCCAGCTCAGTACTATCTTTTGCAGCCTGAAGACCCGTTATATTTTAACAAAAAATATTCTTCCTTTTATTAGACGTTTATTTTTTGTTCTTTAGTATTTACTTAATAAGTGATTGGTCTCCTCTAACTCGCAGACCCAGGAATCAACCAAAGCGACCTTATTGTCACGAAGCGTAAATAGGATGAGGACATAAAAGTCCTGATTGCACTACCTACATGTAAGAATCTCTTGGTGGGGAGGGAAAGAAGGATCTGACTCGCCAGCCAATTCTGGTGGGATTAATGATCCTTCCATCCGCCCCACTATTACCTAGCCTAGTACAGTTGTGGCCACACGTCTTGTGCGCCAGGTCATGTGATGCTGCGCACAGGCCACCCTGATGGGTTGACAGACTTCCAGGAGGTCAGACCGTCACACTTATAAATAAGACTGTATGTAGCCTTTGAAAACAAGCTCAACGCATTAATTATTGATGTAGGTGAGCTTCCCTGATGGTTTCTGTCTCGATTTTGGATATAAACTGATTGGTTTACTGCTTTGTTAATAGTGATAGGCGTCTTAGAAGTTGTCAGATACCAGCGCACTATTTGGGACATGCACTGACCATGTCACGTGGATAACAGCGCACTAGACTGCGACCAGCCACCAGGGCAAAAACTAGTACTGAAAACTCGTACACAGATGGACAGTGCCCATACAACATCATAATACACACATCAATTGACCCTCGTATTCAACAGAAGTCTAAGTAGTGGGTGGTAGATTGGGGTCTGGTGACAGTGTTCGTACAACAGCGACAGCATCCAGCTATGAAATGATACTTTCTGGGTCAAAAGGAACAAGCCTAGTAGTACTGAAACCTGCTTGAATATTTCCTAGCGTTATAACAGCGTTATGTGTTTCATAAAATGCTGTAAAGAAGTACTCTTTCGAAATATGCGTTATATGACACCAGATGAGATCCTTAATCATGCGACTGTAAGCTCGTTTGAGCGGGCTAAAACAGCTGACATGTAAAGGCTAAAACCTGTGTAATGAGTTGGCAGGCATATAAAGGGTAATGATACCATTGTTCTGATAATAATTCTCAAAGACCTGAGAATGGTGGCTTTTGTGGCCATCTAAGATAAGGAGGCATTTACTGGCCGTCATACGCGGTCTGGTATACTCGTCAAAATGCTGAATCTATTTCAAACCAAGCTCATTCGTAGTTCATCTGTTGTCAGACACGGCCACCTTCTAATCGCGTGGTAATGTCGTGTTGCAATACCATGACATAAGGTGGCTTTTGCCCTGTAAAATAATGAATAGCAGGACCACCTAACCATCAGTATTGATAGCAGAGATTATTGTAGACCATTCTTTATTGCCTTGCTGAGCTTGTCTAGGCCTGTCACGTCTTTCAGCGCTTATAATAACTATACCAGACCTAATAATACCTATCATAAACCCAGTCTTGTCAAAGTTGTAAATATCCGTGTCTTGAATACCATGTTTTGTAATTGCTGCCGCAACTTGGTAAAACCACGCACGATATGCGTCTGGATCTTTATTCAAGACCCTTAAGTAGTCTATCTTGCAATAACAACGTGTCTAGAGACCTAATGTATGTTTAATGAAGTTTGCTATCCAGTTCTTTCCAACGCGTCCAGCCCTATATGCTGCCAATTATTGATTTGCCATATTTTAACATAAGTGTACCGGCACAGAAATGCTCGCACATCTAGGTCGAGTATAAAGGAGCAAATGACATTCTCTTTAGAAACCATAAGTTTCGAAGAATTGGACATGTTATCGTGTTATAATGGTCAGCCGGCAATTCTTTGAGCCAGTATAGAGATTAAAAGGTGGAAAGTTTTAGCAAGTTTTTAAACAGAAATATGAGGGTCTGGTTTTTTAGCTTAGATAGCTAGCTGCATATCTGATTTGTTATAACGCGGTGCTATTGTCGTGGGTGGAGGAATACTGTTTGGAAGTTGAAAGTTTGAGAGGTTCATGAAAGTGCCTCACTCACTTGTGTGTCCTGCTTGCTTGTGACCTACCTTAACGTTAACTATAAGTCATAATAATAATTATAAAGCCCTTATCATAATATATTTATAATATACTTATAATAATAAAAAAACTAAATAATAAAAATATAAAAGTTTATTAATTACAAGTTAACTATTGTAATTACGGCTTGAACTTATATTAAAAACAGCTTAAATAACGCAAATAATTTATTAGCTTATTATAGCTTATATTCTTAATATAAATATTTATTATACTTAATAAATAGTTTAAAATATACTATCAATAAATCGTTTTATAGGCTAGCTAAGCTTATATTTAAACTTTTTTTATGATAACACCTTAAAAACATTTATAATACGTAATTAAGTTAAAAACAACCCGCCAGTTTTTTTAATTTATCTTGTAAAAAAGTTATATGAGTGGATTCTTTTTATAAACTTTTATATAACAAGTAATTATGAATCAACTATCGTAGTTACGGCCCAAGCTCGCATCAAAAGCAGCTTAGTAAGCGCTTAAACACGCTTTCAAAGCGGCCTAAACAACGCAGCTAATTTGCTGACCTGCTACGGCTTACGCCCCTTAATACAAGTACCTATCACACCCAACGAAGTGCACTGTAGATTCCCCCATCCGCTCGTCTGCATTGCCCGTGGTTTTGCGTAACTGTTGCATTGCAGGCAAGGGGAAGCCAGTTGGGACCGGGAGGAAACTGGACGTTCCTGCAGGTGGCTGCCTCCACGGGCAGCTGGCTCGCTTGGGCAATGGGCGGGCAGTCCGCCCTCGGCGCCCGGGGCTCAACTTTCCAACTTCCAAGGTGCTTGGCACTCTCCGCCGGAGACGCCGAGGCAGACTTTGCCTGCCGGCTGCACTCCATGTACCTACCTACCCAACCTCTTCCCCTGGGCTCACTATGCCCGGGATCCACCAAATATCGACAGTTCACGCCGCAGACGTTGTGCCTCACACGAAATCCTGGAGCGTCTGCTTGTTGTTGATCATACTAGTCAGCCCAGCTGGAAAAGAGAGGACCTCATTGATATATAAGCCTCTTTCCACTAATACTTTACCGGTCTCCTACTACTATGGGCCTATGGCAAGCGGACACTCTTGTACAGCCACCTTGGCCATCAAGGTACCAGGAATTCTTGCTCAGGACGAGTCTGCGAGAGTTTGCAAATCGGCCCAAGTCAGTGACCTTCGAAGTCGGGCATCAACCGTGCAATCCTCAAAGACAAGGAGTATTCGAAACTGATCAAGGCCATTGCTTATGTATCCAAAGGCGGACGAGTTGGGACTTGGGAGGTCCGCGGAGACGCTAGTTGCGGTTCAGATGAGATCGCCTTCAGCCGAACTTTACAATTCCATGTTCTGCATGTGCGGCAGGCCTGTGATGATAAAAATAATACCTGACGGCTGTAGACGATCTGGTACTTTTGGTCATCCATCCAAGCTGTGAACCTACCTGGAAGACGACGGGAAGACTGCGATTGATTGTGAGGAGACTTGTTGGTGGAAGTCCCCGAGTTTATGTTGCTTTAAAACAAACCAGCATCCCAAGCACCACCTGCACTCCACAGACTCAATTACCTACCTGCTCTTCCGCTGTCCATCCCGTCTTCATGCTGACGGTCGTATTGCAGCAGCGTACTAAACTGAGACGTGTCACAAGTCACAAGTCACAACAGCGCAACTGCAACCCCGCCATCCCGCCCGCCACCTTGCACCATCAATCCCAGAGACCCTTCAGGCTTCCACTCTCCACCTGGGCAGAAGTTGCAGTGCGGCAGGTGCGCTGTTGCAGTACCTTCAGCGGGGGGTCTCCACCAAAACAAAACTCTCTGGCAAGCCGGGCTCCACTGTAAGGCGATTCAGACTTCTCCTGCCCGTCCGTCCTGTCACATTCGCAGGGTCCTCCCGCCAAAGTACCTTACCTACCTTAGGAGACCGTCTCTGCAAGTCTTCGCCGGACTGACACGAGAAAGAAGCAGCCGGCACTGGAACCACCGGAGGCTGAACGTCAACGACAACAAACGGGGCCACTTCAGAACTACCTTATTATTACTGCCGCACCAACAGGCCAACAGGCCACACGAGCACGGAAACTGCCTCGACCAAGAGCCACCGAGTCCAACCAGATTCGGCTCTCGCGCACGCCCAAGCAACCCTGCCTTGCATGCCTTAGGTAGCCAGCCAGCCCGAGGCCACTCCCGGCTACTCCTAGGGCATTCGATTACATAAAACTCAAGTAGCGACTGTCCCTTCCCTCTACCTGACGGCCTGACCACAACTCGTCATTGTTGGTGCACTTCCTATTACCTTATCGTTTGTCCATCTTCACTGTCACTCTGCCGCCCGACGAACGCCTCACCCTGTATCTTTCTGCCTGCCTGGCGTTATTCGGATCTCAGTTGAGATTCACGCTCCAGCCCTTCTGATCCCTGGTTCCCCGGATTATGTAGCGGTTAGCGCTGCATACGCGCGCTTCAGTGCCGAACAAGTCACAACGCTTGAGCCCATCTTATTGTTGCTGCGATTCCTAGACACGCAGACAGGCCACTGCCTACTTGGGGGTCACACACGTGGACGCTCACAAAGGCAGAGAGCGAGCCTCACTAACACCCCTTGGCGAGAGAAACCTTCGTCTGCCACGCCACGCTTCCCGCCGCCGGATTGCCGACGTCGGCCAGAGCATCTTCGAGAGGCGTTTGTCGCCCAGCGGCAACCGTCTCCTACTTTCAACATTGTCATGCCAGACAAGATGTCCATCGACAAGCAAGAACACTCCCAGGAACACTCGGAAGAGTCTGTGGCATCCAGTCCCGAAAATGAGACTGGCCCGTCAGTCCCACCGGAAAGCCAACCTGTGAAGCGCAAAGGCGGGCGCAAACCTGTAAGTCACATTAACCCACACACATATTGAAGTCCGACATGAGGCTGGGTACAATTTCACATGTCCAGTGACATTGTGTATTCTCCGCTATGTGAATTGGTGTGTGAAGTCAGTCGTGTGCGGACTAACACTCTTGACATAGATTTATGCGACCTCAGAAGAGCGCAAGCAGAGGAATCGTCAGGCACAGGCAGCGTTCAGAGAGCGACGCACAGAATACATAAAGCAGCTCGAGGACGCCCTCAAGGCTCAGGAGACCAACTTGACTAATCTGCAAGCTGCGCATCGCGGCGCCGCGGACGAATGCTTGATGCTGCGGTACAAGAACTCTCTGCTAGAACGAATACTTCTTGAGAAAGGTAGATGGTTTGACAATCGTCTACTTCCATAACTGCCGCTAATAAGCGTGTTCAGGTATTGATGTACAGGCCGAGCTTCGTGCCAAAACAGGTAGTCCAACCCTGGGTCCAACTCATATGCCCCAGAACATGGTGCAGCCACCACCGATTCAGCGAGGGATGCTCAACCGACAACATCATCCGCGGAGGTCTGGTTCTAGCATTGCACCCAAGCTCGAACCAGGAATGCCCTCCCTGCCACCGCCCAACGGCATCAATCAAGCTTTGGTCTCGCCCAAGAGTCGACCAACACCCCCTTCCCATGCGGCTTCGCCCATCAACCCTACGCCGCCTTACGGGGGCCACATGGCGGCTTCTTCACCGGCAGCCTCTGATCACACGGGCATGCGACCAGCGATGCCTCCACCTCCCAAGCAGCATATGCCCCCCATGCCCGGTATGGGTGCTGCACAGCGTCAGCAGATGATGCAGCAACAGCCGACCTCGGGCCCTAGGCCGCCTGCGTTCTATCCGACGCCGTCCTTCCAGAACCATTTCCAACAACTCGGCAAGCTGACCCGTTTGCTTCCCCTTTAATTAGAACTTTGTGGTCCTAGATTTAATTCGTGGGTACAGAACAGGAGTACGACGCGCCGGCCGACATGATAGACGAGCCTGAACTGGATAACGCTGGCCCGGGGCCTTATCCTTCAGGATTTCCAGTTAACCATCAACCTGGCATGTCGATGCAGCCACCGACGAGTGCTGCGCCAGGACAACCGCCAATAGCTTCCGCAGAGCATGGCGGCCAGGGACAAGGTCAGGGCTACCCAAGTATGACTCAACTTCTTGATCCAGCTTTGGACTGGGATCCGTTTGGGTTAAGCGCGTCGATGGCCTTCCCAACACAGTTTTCGTTCGATACGAGCAACATGCGATAACCTAGCCATTGACTACGGGTGTGCATGAACGAGGCTGGAATAGGAACACGGCAGGTTTTGCGACGCGTGAGGGACGAACACATCACGAAAAAGATGGCAACTGAACTATTGCCATTCGTTGGACTCTGTCGCACCGGATGGGCAGCATCGGTTCCGTACGACATGGTATACGAATTGTCTCGAGTCAACGAAGTACGCCACTAGGAAATTCAGGGGGGAATGGGTTACCACGGAAATCTTTTCACAGCATTCATCGGCGAAGCCACTGGCATTGATACCCACGGTGGGCGGTCGACTTGCGATGCTTCTTTTCACGAGAGCATCTGGGCGTTCAAAATGATGGCCTGGGAGATAAACGCCTCGATTCGACAGCACGACTGATTGCATATCAGTAATACGTTGTCACATGCGTTGGGACCCGAAGTTCACGACAGCATATGGCGTTCTGGGAGTTTAAAAGTGTCGGAAAGTTTTCGTTGCGTTTCTTACCCTTACCGGGTCGTATTCTTCAGGGCCCAAGGAGATGCGGTTGCAACGACAAACGGCTGCATTATCCATTGTCATATCCTACTAGGGGTGTTGCGTCTTGTCTATCTTATATTATACTTGACGGACAGGTGGTCAATGATCCCTTTCTCTTCTCCTATACGCCGACTTGGACTTGCTTGCAAGCTCCTGATGATGTGGTGCTTCTGCTACATCTCTTGAGTTGCCTGTGGCCTTAAGCTTCGGGTTTAGTCTTGTATATAAACAATTGCCAGGTGGGAAGGGGGTGGTCAGAGTGGTATGCGAGGCAGACAAGAGCATCGGACGGGAGGATCTCACGGTAAGCCGTAGATGAGTTACGATCAGATAGCCAATCGAGTCAAAATACTCCAACTGAAGTTGTACCGACGCTGTAGATCATCTATGACGACAAGGCACAGAGGGGTGCGTGGCTTCGTTGCACAACATGTCGTTCAATTCCGCCCCCAGAATACACGTCACGAAGGCGCGGCGGTTCATGTAATGTTGAACCCGACCTGCCTACCTACATGAACCTGCATAACCAGGTATGTACCAAGAATAGTCGACGAAGGCAAATCTCGGGGTCCATATCCCGATGGGATCTCCCCGCCGGCACCCTCTCCGGTCGCGCTTTACTTGTTCTCCTGACCGAGATGCATCCTTTCGCGAATCATCGTCGATCCCTTCTTGACGGAGTTGCTGCCTGGAGGTATTATTAGCTGGTGCATAGTTGTCCTCCTTCTCCCTCGGGCTTCCACTGGGGCCGTTTCCCGTGTGCTGGATGCATCATCTGATCTGCTCAGTCAATCCCTTGCTCTCGTAGGTATGTCTTGCTCTTTCTCTCCCTTGTCGATGTGCTTGTGGACGTGTCGCATAGCCAGGATGGATGTGCGCTGCGGCCGGATCCTGCCGCCGTCGCTCCCGAGCCGACGGATGGTGCAGCCAGCGGCTGGTAGGATCTCTGGTTCCACTTGGATACGTGACGCGTAGGTAGGCACCGTATCCGTACGGGTACATGCGGACTGGGAAGTATTAACTCTATTTTGCGCACCACCTGCGCTCTTTTTCAATTTCAATAACAAGACGCAACGGTATGCCACCCTCGTTCAGATCATCGATCATCAACGCCTCTCATGGACCTGCCGAGGCGGGCTTCGCCCAAGCGGGGTCGAGCAGAGGACTCGGAGAATCGGTGCCATCGAATTCACCACACCGGTCACCAGGATTGGTATTGTCCACGTAGCAGCAGCTGCTTCTCCTCTCACTGTGGCCTTCCAGATCGATACCTCAGCTCAGCGCTGTGACTGATGGTTTGCTACCACGTCGCAGCGGCGCAATATTCGTTGAATTCGATATTGTCGTGTCTGCGTAGTAAGCCAGTCCCCGGGCATGACTCCGCGAAGTGGCGTGAACCCCATGACCCTCTCTCGAAACCCAGGAGGTAAAGTGATGCTCTCCTCTCCATCATACCGGCGGTCGGCAACACACCAATTGTCATCATCGCACTGTATGCATCTTGGCACCGTTGGGTGGATGACAGGATGACGGCCGAATAGCGGGGTCGCAGGCTTTGCCCAATTTTTGACCGTGTCTGGCCGTCGGTCTAGACTGCCATCGAATCACGGAATGCTCCTCCGAGCTCGGCGGTCTCTCGGTGTTCGTCGTATTGCAGGCTCAGTGAGGACGGGTGGTTCCTTCGCTCGTGGGATCGGTCACACGAACGTGTCCGCGAACGAGACGGGTAACGTTCTGGTGACCGTTTCTGACGGACGGGTTCTGTGACAGTGTGTTGCTGCACCGCCAAGTGCTTCCTTCCATCGTGGGTATCGTAGGAGCATCGTGTCCTTTCATGATCACGCCCGGCGCTTTGCAGAAGAAGCTAGGGTGTCCAGCTCCTCCGGTCCGGTGCCATCGTCGTACATACACGTGTCGTCACACGTGTTGATGCCAATGACTGGTCACTCCCACCCCTTCCCTTGCTTCATTTGTTGATCCCGTCCTCCATCACCCAGTGCGGTCGTCGGTATACCAAGTCATCCATGGACGGCAACGCCGTCTTCCAGCGGCATGAGTCCGCGAGGTTGGGATTCATCTGCTGGTTTGCCCGTGTGTGGAGATCCGCTTGTCCCGGTGGGAGGTTGGACGCCGCGACTCGTGATAACCTCACTTGAGGGACGAGGGATAAGCCGCTTCGACCCGTCTCGACTGGTTCAATAGTGTAATGAGCATGATGGACGAAACGCTTTTTTCGACCGGCTCTGACGAAGTAAGATGTCGGTACCTACTGTAGATGTATCTCCAAATACTTGTTGTAGGGGCGCTGATAGCCTGCGGAGGTCATGTTCAGCGAGCAACATCTGCGACACACAGATCCCGATTTTAGGAATGTCGAACCCGCCCACGAACTATCGAGGACAGCAACATTTCCAAACTCTAGGGAATACCACAGAACGACGGGAGACCCGACGAGTATTTGTATCAAGCTGGCTGGCTTATCTTTTGGGGTCAGGCCTCCCTTACCAAGCCGGGGGGGGAGGCAGAGATAAGGGAATATAATCATTATCAACCGAAATCCATAATCCCTCGCGGCGCCGACACCCCACGAACCTGCTCCGTCTACCAGGGTTGCAACAGCGCGCCTCTCGATTGCTCATGCAATGAGGCATGCAGACGCCAGCACACACACGACCGAAGTGCGGCCCTTTTCTGATACCGCATGCCGCCACGCCGTATGCAAGTCGTTCAAGCTTGTCAGGTGAAAGGGTTTCCTGCATATCGTGGGTGAGACGACCGAACCCCCACGGCGCTGTCTCATATGATAAATATAGCCGCCGCGGCTTATCTATTGATGTCCCATACATTGCTACTTGGGGCTACCGAACTTCTTACACTCTTTCCGAAAAAAGAGACCGGTGCTTTTGCATGTGGGGTGTATGTGTCGGTAGCACTCCGATGATGGTCGCCGTGTGATGACATCCGCCTCGGCGTTAGGCTCTCTACGTCTCTACACCCTACATCAAGCATCCTCGAGTTCAAGAAGCACTCAGTTGACCTCGTTGTACTGGCCAATACAGTACATTAAAGGCGAGACCAGCAGTCGTTCCTTTATCCACGGGCTGGCTTCAGTACTTTTATGTCACCAGATCTCGAGTGGTGATCTCGAACGCTATCAAGCGGATTCTCTCGGCGAGCGGTTACCGACCCAAGCACAACATAGTCAAGCGCCAGGTCATATGAGTTCAGGCATAGTTCCGGGATTCACTGACTGCAACTCATCTCCGCGCGGCGTTGCGAGATTTCCGGCCGCTGCAGGAACCCCTGAGGAGGTGGCTATACTACCTACGTTACAACGCCAATGTCAATACTCACCCTCAATAAGGATACTCACGATGAGCTTGAAGACTGCGAGCAACAGAGCTGGGGAACTTAAGTGTCTGAACAACTTTGGATGCTCGAGTCCCTCCCACCTTACCAAGTTCAATGCCGAGTCGAGGATATGCTGGAAACCGCGTGGATGCCCACGGAGCGTAATCTCTTCATGTGATGAAGGACTCCGACCCGCCTATTACCTTGATATCCCCGGCTTCCTGGCATACTGCAGCCGCTGATGGACCGTCAGGATAGGAGATGATGTTTCGTCCGGGCCACAAGTTAGCTGGTCTCATGAAAACGGGTCCATGGGTGGTAGGTGAAGCTCAAAGCTGTACTCGAAGCAGAGCGTGAGGAGGTTGTCGAGCTGGACCAGTTTCTCCGGGATGGCTTTTGGGATGTAAAACGCATAGCTGTGATGAACCAAGGGGACAGGAAGTACATGCTTTTCAGATGGGCTGGCTCTCCTGACCGCCTACACTACATTCACACGCACGACCACCCACAAGCAATGGCCAGCTGTTGGTCCGGAAGGACATTCTTCCTCTCACGAGTGATCATACTTGCTATTCTTCTACTTGACGTTCTCTTCTAGGCCTACCGGCTACCCATATGTGTGTAAGCAATAATGCTCCTCGGTCATTGGAGGCTAGGATAGGGGTTGAAGAGCATCTTCCATTCCCTCTCTTCTGCGTCCTTGGTCATGGCTATGAAACCAGTCTGATGTATATATACATCATCCAGGGATAATACCAGACTCCATCACTGATTCGGACATTGTTTCTACCAGGCGTACCTTTCCCCGTTAGTTGCGTACATGACTAGACGACACATGAAATCTTGGAATAACCTCTCATGCAGATAGCTAATTATTGAGTCGGACATAGCATTTCCATGTAGGAACAGTGGGAGGCGTACGCATCCCTTGCATCGACAAGACTCTGGGGTATGGGGCCGAATTGATAGCGAGAGGCTGCTGCTGCTGCTGCACAAGGTTGTCATCGAGTGTGTCGAGGTCTCGATTGGGCTCGAAGCTCGGCCGGAAAGAGAAGTGCTGTCTCAATTGGCATCGGCATCTTGGGACTTCCTGGTAGTAGGTGCACTTGATACATATGGGTAAGAGATTCAACACATTGCAGTAGCACCCTGAAGTACACTGCAACGCAAATGGGTATACCAGCGGTCTTTGACAACCGATGCCAGCTGCCATCATCATGAAGGTTCATTGGACTTGGCATCGGCACTGCAGGTGCAGGTGGGTGTCGAAACCCTATCGCCGGCGGCTGCCCGCACCTGCCGAGGAAACTGGCTGAGTCAGCCACGCACTAACTAGCAATTTTCCAATTCCACCACATTTCCATTTTCCTGCTCCGTTAAGCGATTCAGCTGAGTTGTGTGCAAAAGGAGCATTGACCATCCAGAGCAGAGGAGCCCACTCCAGATCCAGTTCCCCAGGCCCAGGGCAATTGCAAACCTTCAACAGTCCAACCTCGCAAGTTCTGACGCGGGATTCCGACGACACCAATTCAACTCCTGCCCTTCCCCCAAGGATATGACCTGCTAGGCCGTATCCTTTCCCTCATCTCGACTCCCATCGACGCGATTGACGTCCCCGGAGCAGCGCCTTGCTGAAAGGCGAATAAAGCGGCGGCACGATGTCGGTCGCCTCAAAGGTATGTCGAAGCTCTAGCTACCTCGGCTGCCCGCCCGCCTCGAAGCTCCCATTCTGGTGTCCGCCATGCGTACCAACCCGCGAGTAACGGGAATGTATCAATTGATTCTTGTTCATTCGGTCCTTCAAACGTCATTAAGCTAACGTTTGACACATAGAACCTCTTCGCCCTTCTCGGTATGGCAATCCACCAACCACTCAACCTCGGGTGAAAATTCTGTCAATAGCCGACAACCGATCACTAACCTGCGTTGATACGATTAGGTAACGACGATGAGGGCGAGACGCAGACCGCCCCGGTGAAGACGGTCGAGAAGACCACCATGCGCAGCACCAAGCGTACCGCCGAACCCCAGGCACCTGCGCAACCTGCCGCCAACACCGGAGCTCGTCGCACTGGACCTGGAGGCAACGAGGGAGGTTAGTGTCATCATCATTCCTGCTTGCGCTCAGTTCGCGGCGTCGTCGATGGCGGCCCGACAACCTTGGAGCCAACGGTAACTGACATACGCTCTGCAGCTTTCCGTGACCGTAACGCCGGCACCGCCAGCAACCACCGCAAGGCTACCGATGAGGTTCCCCGTGGCGGCTCTCGAGGAGGTCGTGGAGCTCGCGAGCGTGGAGGTGAGATAGCACGACGACCTTCTGCAGCCAACCCGCACTAATTCGATGTATCAGGCCGTGGCGGTCGCTTCCCCCGAAACCAAGATGACAGGCACGCCAAGGGTATCGCCAGGTAACATTTTCCCGCAACCCCTGTTACCCCTCAACCTACTAACTTTGTTTCAGTGGCTCCGAAAAGCAGGCCGCCCAGTCGTGGGGCGCCACCGAGGGTGAAGCTGAGCAGAAGGATGAGCAGGCCGGGGAGGAGATCGCTCAGACCGAACTGAAGGAGGCCACTGCCGAGGACGCTGAGGATGCCAATGCCACCCCTGCCGAGCCCGAGGACAAGAGCATCTCCTACGCCGACTACCTCGCTCAACAGGCCGAGAAGAAGCTTGCCCTGGGCGAGAACCTCGAGATCCGCAAGCCTAACGAGGGTACCAAGGCCGACAAGAAGTGGGCCAACGCCAAGCCTCTCACCAAGGAGGAGAACGACGAGTTCATTGCTGCCTCTGCGGGCAAGGCGAAGAAGGAGCGTGAGCGCAAGACCAAGCAGGTCATCGATATCGACCAGCGTTACGTTGAACCCGAGCGCACTCGAGGTGGTGGCAGCGGTCGCGGCCGTGGCGAGGGTCGCGGTGCCCCCCGTGGCGGTCCCCGTGGCGAAGGTCGTGGCGAGGGTCGTGGTGAAGGACGTGGTGCTCCCCGAGGCGAGGGACGTGGACGCGGCGAGGGCCGTGGCCGTGGTCGTGGTCAAGGCGACTCCCGTGGTGGACGTCCCGCCACCGGCCGCGACAACGCCAACATCAACACCAGCGATGAGTCTGCGTTCCCTAGCTTGGGCGCTTAGACCACGCCATGATCCGTACCTGACGAACGGTTGCCGAACTTGGACTGAGACCCAAAGTGACGGTGCTTTCCTCCGAGGTCAGGGATGCAGGACGCAAGTCTTGATCAAGGAACCCAGTTCGGTCACTGAAGCTAAATTCGTCTGACCTCTTCTGGCTACAAACGTAGAGAGGCAGATGATGTCCCGAGTTCTCAATTTCCGAATCAACAAAAGTTTCTTTCATATCCGAGCATAGGTATGTCAACTGGGTTGATTGCTGGGACGTGAGAAACTGGTCTTGCGCGGCACCCGTTTTCATTGACATTGTACTGGTATAATCCTCGGCTGCCTCATTGCTAAAATTCTTACCATAATCCACCGTCCTACTCGCCCATTGTGATTCTTGTATGACTACAAAGGGAGGTACTGAATATCTTCTCTTTCCACGGTCGCCTCCCGCATGAAATGTTTGTTTGAGTACATTCAATGTCCTATCAAACAGTGGTCCTTTCGCAACCCAGGTGTCACAGGCACGCGCCGTACAAGTGCCATGATGACAATTGTCTATCAACAATCAGCTCAGTCGTGCTCAGGTGGTTTTATGGCCGGATGTGAAGTCGTGCTGCTGATATGAAACAGTATGCTTCAGCACTGAGGAAGAAATGGGTATATATAACGATATCCTGCACCATGGATATCTCGAACCAACCTCCTATCAACCAAGACCCCCTATAACGAGTCCAGGACGGTTCCGCGGCTTAATCAATCTTCCTCACCACTACTCGCTCGGTCCTAGTATTTAGGGGCAGACTGGGTGCGCTTGGGCCCGTGACTTCCCAAGCCACCCACGCATTATTCCAGTCCTTGCAATTGCCATTCGTGTCCGAATGGAACTTGTCCACGTATTCCAACTTGAGTGGACGGCTGCTCCTGTCGGCCTTCCACATGCGCACCGTGGAGTCCCAGTAATCGAGGCCCGTGACTTCAAAGCCCTGGGGCACATCGTGGAAGTCCGGCACCTTCCCGTTCTTGTAGGTAATTCCGGATTTTGACCACGTCTCGTCGTTGCAATCGCTGTCCTTGAAGGCCTGGATCTTCTAGTCTGGCATGGAGTAGACGAGCGGAAGGAGTGTGGTTGCTGCGGCCGCCGCCAGCAAAGCGTGCTTGAGGTTGGCTAAGATCATATTGTCGGGCTAGGTGGAGTGATGGTGTTGGGATATGCGTCTTGGCTGTTTTGCGAGTAATATAGATTCGTCCTTTGTCGAAGGCCATTTACGGCTTTGTGATTTGCTCTTATATAGGTGGCCAGACAATATCTATCATCAGTGGTCACGGTTACGTCAGTTGGAATATTTGAACTTCTGTATCTGGAAGGTCATTTTTAACATTTCTATTCCTAGGGTTATTAGAAGATATAGGATTCGAAGATAAAGGTCCAGCGGGCCGCCCCGTTCGCGGACCGATCCATGGATGTCACCTGGTTACTGCAGAAATAGTAACAGTTGCCACTGCAGAAACAGTAGTTGCCTTTCAAAAACTGACGGTATGACATTCCAAGCCCCGCCTGGTAATCCTTCCTCGGCTCCTCTGTCGGATGTCGGTTGAGGCATCAGCTTCCAATTTCTGTCTAGAGTGAAATCCTCAGTGGCGACTGGATCGACCGCTTCCTTCGGACGGGCTGTCGGCGGCCCCCCTTGCCCCTTCCCACACTCCCGTCTACTCGGCGCTGCCGTTTGCCGCCCCTGTTTCTACTCGGTATTGTGGCTGCCTGGTTATCAGCGTCCTTCGACAATTCTGAAATAGACGCCAGTCTCCAGGATGGAAGAGGTCAGATGCTGCGAATGCGCAAGGTGTCTTCTACGGCACGTTCCTTCTAGGCTCACTAGGTTCTGTGAGATTTCGGCATATCAGGAAGACTGAAGACCGAAGTGAACCTGTGTTTCGGTTTTGCCACCTCGCATGCCATATAGCTCACCCTGACCGTCTCGTTGTCTGCATGGATAGGCCGTACATGAGAGTCCCTTTTTTATACACATCTCGACACCTTCATGTTGCGTACCGAAACGAGGCTCCTATACGACCAAAACTCAATCCATCAGATGACAACTTGACTTCCCGATCTGCCGGCTTAACCGCCACCAGCGATTAAGCCGACCTCCTCTCCTTCGTAGCACGTCTCCTTACACCTGCTTCCACAGGCTCAGACATTCCACCGACCACAACTTCTTAGGAAGTACGGGGGTCGGGTGCAGGCTGGCGAGAGAGTGGTGCTTCATCGGTGTAGTTCGCCACGGTGAGGCGCTTCAAGCTGCAATCATCGATGACCTGCTGGCTTCAAATCAGAGCTGCACCATACCCTCCTTCCTACCTTTTTGATGAGAGGGGCGTCTCCGCGACAAAGACACTGCCACAAAGCCCTTTGACAACTATACCATTGAGTTAGGCACTCAAGAACTTGGCTCTTTCAGTCAGAGAAGCCAGCTGAACCTCTTTGGGCTTCTCACGCACAATGGCCTTTGTCGATCACAAAGCTATTCATGCCTTCTACGTATGGACAATCATGACATTCAGTGATTATTAAACCATCCATTGATCCCAGTAACTCTTGGTTTACTTCGATCACATTATCCTCATCATCGAACCAAACCAACCGGGTAAGTTATTTTACGAGTGCTAAATATTAGTCCTCGTATAACCTTTCCTCGAGATCACTTCCAACAGATTCAAACACCATGATTTCACCAGCCCAAGAGAGCTCATCGGCTAGCAGTGCTATGCCCCTTCGCCCCCTCACGGGCTGCCGAGCCGGTCTTTACACTTTCCCAAATCTACCGATTGAAGAATCCATCAGTCTCCCCAAGGACTCCCTTGGCTACCAGGACAGGTCTGCAATCGAGGCCTGGGTCAATGGCGACGACGATGCCGATGCCTACTTCGCTGACGCAAACGAGACCTTTACGCAGGAGGAGACCAACACCGCCGACGAGTTCTTCAACGCGCGCAGCTCGTTCTCGAAGGGCAGCACCTTCGCTGACGAGACATTCGGCGATCTCGATGAAGACGCGTCTCTCGTCTCCCTCCCCTTCTCCATTAAAGAGGCTGCCCACCGAACTCCATACCCATATTCTCCCCCTACTCCGTACCCAATGAATTTCCTCAGCCCTTACCCAACTCCTCCACCTACTCCTCCCCCGACTTCCCAATCCGAAGTCAAAGCAGAAGAAGACACCAACCGCGGCCGCATCCGCACCCGAGGCCGCGCCCTCGCCCTCACCACCCCAATCCGCCCGAATCTCCTCCGCCAGGACGCCATGTCATGGACCGACGACCTGGTCAAGAAGAGCCTTACCCGTGGCCGCGGCCGCGCCCTCACGCTCATCACCCCGGACCGCCCGACCTTCCCCCACCAGGAAGGCATGCCTTGGACCGACGACCTCGTTAAGGAGAGTCCCACCCGCGCCCCCACGCTCGTAATCGCACCCGGCGGCGCACTCCCCGGCGTCACGCTCCACAAGGCCTCGACGCTGTGTGTCGGAAGCGAGGCGCTGATGCCTGCGCCGCAGTTGAGCCGCCGGCTGAGCATCCCGTTGACGGCGCGGACGCACTTTCATCCTTCGCCGTTCAAGGGGGAGGCGCAGCCGGGAAGTGAGGTGCCGGTTGTGAGTCTCGATGAGGCGGCGCCGACGGCTTGGAACAGGGAGGGGGAGGGGATGCGCAGTGATCTTCTGCCTGTGAGGCGGAACCTTGGGGATGGGTGGTAGGTAAGTCTTCGGAAACTCCAGGTGAGTTCTGAACATGTTGTAATTCAGGGGATATGTGTCCCCTGCTGAGGTGAGAGAGATCAGTGTCATCAGCACTGAATCTCAGTCTCTTTGAATACTATATGTACAAATATAATCTCGTTGTGTCTCATTACTGCCTGAAGTCTACACACGTGAAATCTCTAGTATGTCCAGTTCTCCCCTATCAGTCAGTCATAAGAACTCCCCTTTGCCGCAGCTCCTAGACAACACCCCCATAGACTTGTATGTACACTGTGTAAAGCACCAGTACCGAAAAGGGCACTCAGTCTTCAGGAAATGGCACGACTGGCTGTCCCCACGAGTAGTGAGCGCCCGAATCCTCGCTGTCCCAGGACTGCGAGAAAGCAGCGGCCGACAGCCTTGAAGCTTTGGCGCCTCGCTCGAGCATTTCCGCCTGGTACCCACCAAACAGCTCCTTGATGTTCTCGTTGTCGTCCTTGTCGATCTTCGCAATGGCCCTCGACAGGTTCAACGCGTCTTGCAAGGCGTGGTAGCCGCCTTCTCCTCGGACTATGGGTATTGCGGGTGTTAGCTACACTCCCCGGCCATAAGTCTCCGAGCATCCCTGTTTTACACCAAAACACCCCAACTTTACGCGATCGTGATAAATCGAGTAAAATAGATACAACTTAAGTACTTATAGTACATATAGTTAAATTTACTTGGAATATTAAAATGTTTTATTTGAAAACTTTGACATCTTAAAGATAAAGGTCGTAAATGTTACTTTATTAAAGGTTAAATTCTCGATAAAAATAACTTTCTAACATATCTATTTTAAAAAAAAATTGTCACATAAGGTTTCTCGTCTTATACGTGTATTACATGCCATTTAATATTATATAACTTTATTACGACTTATACGATTTTTTAAACATTTCTTATAGCTTTATTAAGATCTAAGATTTAAGATTTTAAACTTTACTTTTATATATCTATTTCTTGATATTTTAGTCGCTAAGAAAATAAATATCTAGAAATTAGTTACGAAAACTTCAACATTTTCAAATATTAATTTCTTATAATATCTCATTTTAAAAAGCTTTAAGTCTTTAGTTATAAAAGCGTAAAGGTAGGGCATTTTGGTGTAAATGCGGGGATGCTCGGAGACTTATGGCGGGTCAGTGTACTGGAAACGTGCCTCAGATCTAGGCACAGGATGGGAAGGGTTCGCTGCTTACAAGGTGGCATGGCATGGGCGGCGTCTCCAAGCAACGTGATCCGCCCCGTCGGCAACGAGTCCATCGCCAGGGCCCAGAACCGAAGCGGCGACTCCATCGGCGTTGAACTCTCGATGACGGTCCTGAACTTGGCCGGCAGTTCCCTGCTCTTCTGCATGGCGAAGTCGCGGAGTTGCTCGCCGCCAGCGTTCCACGTCCAGAAGTCGTCCCGCGCGGCGTCTACGTCGGGCCACATGATGAAGAAGCAATACTCGCCCGCCTTGCCGTCCGGCAGCATCTCGTGCAGGGCTACGAAGAGGAACATGGGCGAGCCGTGGACGGGGGGCATATCGACCAGGTAGCAGGAGTGGCCCAGGCGGAGCTGTTCTTCCAGGTCTTGGCCGCTGAGCGTACACGTGCCGCCCACGACGCCGGTGGCGGCTCTTGGGATCGGGTCCTGGCCTTTGAGGATGTGATTACGGGCTGGTTGAAGGGTGGGAAGTAAGAATCAGAGCGACTTCTACTCTGCGGGGGGAGGTAGCACGTACTGGTACTGCGAGCGCCCTCGGCGCCGATGAGGATGTCGCCTCTGGCCGAGGACCCATCTTCGAAATACACCGTCACCGACTCCTTGTCTTCTTCGATCCGAGCCGCTCGCTTGCCCCACTGGATCAGGATATTCGTGGACAACCACTGGCGGAGACGACGACGAGGGGCTCGGATGATATTGCCGGACCCGTCGTCCCGCACGCCAACCTTGCCGGCATCGGGCACACCGCTCAGGCTGTACCAGGCGAACTCGACGGCGTAGTCAAGAGGGAGAAGATGGTTCACCTGCGCGATAGGGGGCATGTCGTCGGGTATCGATGCTTTGAGATCGTCGAGCATGCTATGGAAAGGGTCAGCGTCTTCCATGTGAGATGGGAACATAAAGAATGTGCTGAGACCGTACCCGTGCAGTCCAATGACCCATCCTTGTTGTCGGGCATCGTCGTTCTCTTCTCGCTCGAATATCTCGAATGTGATTCCCTGCTTCCGTAATGTCTGGGCGAGAGTCATGCCGCCCAGACCGGCACCTATGATGAGGACATGTGGTGAGGATGCGGGACCCATTGTGTGAGTACTTATCGTTCAGGTGTTGGGTCCTTAAGTAAAGAGGTATATGACAGAATTTCTAGATGACCCAGTTTATTGGTTCCGGTCCGCTACTGATAAGGATGCTGTTCACTGTTCGGAATGAGCAACTCCTGAACATGCCGTCTTCTAAGCTCTCTTAGTTGCCGTTCGTAACGACATAGTGAGTGCCCATTTCGGAAACCAGCGATACCAGGCACACTGGTATTGAACAGGGATCATTGTTACCCGGCAGTCGGACGGGACAGAGTTCCGAGCGGCACGGTAGACAATACTACAGGGAGCTTTGGAGCCATCGCAAGTTGACACATAGGCCGGAGTCGATAGAATCAAACTCGGTGTTCGCAACCGAATTATTGTCCGAGTCGAAGCCGTTGTCCGGCCCCCCTTTTCCCTGTGACCCACTTTACATGACTCCTGATGGTCGGCTTCGATGTTGCGGCAGAGTCCAGTAGCATCGATATCTGGAACCATTTACAGCGGCGATACCGCCATGGATGTATCATCATCGTTTGCAAGACGCTGTTTGGTGTTCCTCACATGTTTTGCAACAGCGCGCTTGGATTGCCATCACTTGAGGCCCTCAGCCCCTGTATCGGGACATATTGCCTGATCTAGGTCGCCCAGGTCCAGATGGCCCAATAAAACACCCAGGGGGGTGACATTCAACAATGCGGCGCATAATGACACAGGAGCTGATCTGCCATGACTCAATCTAGATTCATTGACCGAGGCCTCTGCTATCTACCAAAGCAACCAAAGCATAGTCGAGCAGACGAACCTTCGTCCTGTCAACGTTCCGTCTGGACGTCCGATACATCCCGGGGAAGGACCAACCTCGTTCCAGATACCTCTCAAGACAGACAAGTAAATCTGTGCTTCGCCTCAGAGCAATGGAGGAAAACCTCTAGCGATAGGTTCTTTCTTTCTTTCCGTTGCTCGGCTCGTCCTTACCATCGTTTCTTTCGCCTCTGTATTGCTCACCTTGTATCAATTGTACAACTTCCTCCCAGCATAATCGACTATGCAGAGTTAACTCTCGAGCGGGACCCGGTGCTTTCGACTTGGTTGTGGAAGGCGATGAAGCGGTCCACCAGCTGGGTGAGCTTGCTGTCGACGGGTACGGGCTGCGGGTTATAATTTTGCCTTGCGCGAACGACCCCAAAGACAAGATATGTGACGTCGTCGGCTTCGGCGACGTTCTCGCGCTTCATCTGGCTGCCATGTCAACCGGGTTCCGAATGGCTGAATAGACGTTGTCTGACATCTTTTGATCTGGTCAAGCCAAGTCAGTTTCTCCATGATCCGTCTACGAGGTCGGCCGGCCTGGCTTCTCCCAGACTAAATGGCTGCATCATTCCGGCAGGCTGCTGCGGATAGTTCTGAGAAGGAAAAGGATTTGTTGCCCAAGGGCTTGGTCGGTCAGAGAGGTTTCCGAACATCTATCCCAAGGGTGGCAATCCGACTGGGGCCGACTGTCGTGTTGAAAGTTCAGATTTAATCTGTTCGATGCTGTTTCTGAGTACTCTCATCTCGTCTTTGCCAGCATCAAACTTCTCTCCCACAGACCTGTTGTTCATTGAGTCAGACAGAAGGAAGGCTCCAAGCCTCGGAACATATCCAGAAGAAAGGCGTGGACTAAACCCCAGCTGTCCTGGGAACTCCATGGCGAGTCTAGGACACGCGTCCCTTGCCATCTGCCAGCGTCAATGGGGAACGGCGTCGCAGGCTCACAGATCCATCTGCGCGGGTCACATTGTACCCACTGCCTCGAGGTCTTCGTGGTCGTGTATAGTCGACCTTGTTCTGTCTTGGGATATTCTCGCCGATGAGGTGATTGATACGAACGATAGTAATTTCGTTGAAATTGCTACTCAGATCGGGCAGGTCTCGACCGCTTCGGAGCCAGGCTTCTTGATGCCTGCTGATATAGCAAAAAGCAAGCAGCAAACGAATCAGGAATGAACTGGTGTTTTGCGATATTGCCAGAGATGTCGAAATTGTTGATGGAGTGGCTAATGCCAAAAGCGTCCAGTGCTTCGGATAATCGGGCTCTAACGACGTCGTGCTTCTGGAGATCCCACTCGGCGTTAACTGCCTCGAGCTGAGGCAGTAAGTGTGATGCCAAATCGTCACAATTCGACTGCTGGTAGATCTAGAGATGACATTGTTTTTGTACGTGAAGAGGAAAGCAAACTATGAAGCTAGCTAGGAGACATGATCTGGGTTATATAGAGGTTGACCCCTGACCCTGTGGGGTTGTCTTTAGACTTTTAGTGCTGTGATACGAATATCTTCTGCGTCTGGCGTGGCCAGAAGTCGAAGACAAATGACGATCGGAAGATCAACAACCCGTGGGAGGTCTGGGTTTCGGATGGAGTAGGAAAAGGCGAGTGCCTACGCGTACGTTGTCAGCTTCCACGATAGATCGGTTTTATACGATGAACTGCTTACCCAGTGGGCACCTGTTGATGACTGGACGGTGGCCACCGTCATCCCATTCCAAGAGCACGACTTCCTGCTTCGTGCCTCGACTGATCTGTTGCTGGGTCAAACCCCATGTCTGCGCATCTCTGAACGATTGCTCGGCGACACCGGAAATGCTCTGGCGCTCAGTAAACCGGGATTTGCTTAAGAATTGCGTCGTACGGTTGCGCATGATGGTTGATGCCTGCGCATGTTCCTGGGTGATGATTCTATAACGACTCTGTGCTCCGGTTTGCAGAACATTCGGATCGCCTCGCCTCAATCACCGGAGGCTGTACCTCCGGCCACACGCATTCGATTATTGGTAGTGCCCTCCATGCGTTCTCTGGTATCATGAATTGCCCAGGCCGTCCAGTTCTTCTCAGTCTCGCCGTTGGGAGTATCCTCTTGGCCTCGTTCTCAATCTACTTGCCGCCGTTCTTGTGCACCGACGAGAGGTGAGAGGTGATGTTGTTGGCCTTGTTGGTCATGACCGAGTAGCAGATTCCGCTGGGGCGCTCCTCGTGGCACTCGAACTGGCCATCAGCGCCCCTGACACACTCTTTAGCGGGCTGGTCGGTCGGGTGACGGTCGTCGGGGTCGGCTGGTTCGTTCCTGCGGGGAGCCATCTTGCAAGGCGACCTGTTGAAGCTGCGAGCATGTCCTCGAACAAGCGTGACATGATCTGGTTGGCGGCCAATGCCGTTCCCCACTTGTATACCAGCTCGTTGTACTGGTCTTGGATGGGTGGGATGTATCTCATCTTAAAGTGGTGCCTTTATAAGGCGAAGACCCGCAAGGTCACCCATCTGCCTGGCAGTTAGTGACTGAACGAAGCTTCTCTGGAGTGGAACTGAAATGAAAGAGTCGCCTTTGCTCGATTGAAAGACGCGGGTGACGTGGTCGTTGAGAGTGTATGGTAATTTGGAAAAGATGCCTAAGTGGCGGGGGTTGAGAAGGAAGACAAGGACAGTGCAGAAGCGAGAGGGAGAAAGGAAGTGGGAGAAAAGAAATGGCAGAAATTTTGCGTTGAATGGTTGGATGCAGGTCCTTTTCACAGCCTGCTGGCCATTACCTGGGTAACGGGAAGGATGTGTATGACGTGAAAGCCATGCGATTCGTGGGACTGCAATCAGATATGGTAGCTGAGCAACGAAAACTTTGCTGTGCTATCACCTTGATAAGAAGTAGGTACACTCATCTTGGATTCCGCAATCAAGCAGAATGCCTCATGTCGTGCTCCTCATTTCTCTGCGCAGAGCTTCAGCTCGGCATTACCACCCCTGCGCCTCTTGAGAGGGAAGTACGTTCCCAAAGACCTGATGTCACCATCATCGACGGCTCCTGTATTGGAGGCAGAAATACCACCTTGCAATGGAGCTTAGGCCGTGCGAAAGGTACTGCTCCTCAGATTGGAAGCCGCTCTATGACCCGTCACAAGCATTCAACACCAGAAACGTTGTGACTCCTCGTCTTTCGATATGATGGTTTGCAGTCCTGCCCTCGCTTAGTCGCTCCGCGACCTTCAGGTCAAGTAGGAGTCTCACCGCTGGACACAACACGCTTTGTCTATTTCTTCGTGTCCGATCGCGGCATTCCATCTCCACAGACGTGTCTTCGCGTTGACTGGAAGTCTTTGCTGGACCAGGGGCTCTCGAAATTTTGTCATTATTTACGTTCGTAATTATTTGCGTTCTTACCCACGTTTCACTACTACTCCCGTATGCTATCTCGTAACTGAGTAGAAATTCAAGACCTAGCGTTCGTCTTCGTATGGATAATCTCCAGCAGCGTCCACATGGTTCAAGCACTCGACGGCAATATAAGTTTGGTGGACACATAGACACCACTTGCCTATTTTAGAGGCGAGCAGAGACGCCGATTTTAATCCTGGTTGCAGTGGCAGTCCCTCGGGTCTGCCGAAGCTGCCTTCTTGTCGGGGAATCAAGGGTCTCTCGCTACTTGGTTCTCCGGCCACTCGTCATGCTGGCCTATGAGCATTGATAGAAGCTCGAGCTGTTGCTTTACTCGCCGATGAGTCAGTTGTTCGGGTTGAGTCCTGATTCTATAGGACACGCCGTAAAGAGCAAGAGGCGAAAGCTCGCGAAGGAATGAGCAGGGTAGAAACCGCCCTGTTCTCCCTGAGCGGAGTTAGGTCATTGCCTCTGGAGATATCAGGCTGCTCGGTGAGAAGAGTGGTACGGTTCTAGTTCATCGACTTAACATGGTATAGAGCAAATTCAATTGTTAGGAAATTCCCGTCTTTAATCGTACAATCAAGATGACTTCTTCGTCCATTCGCTCTCCTTCTCCAACCAGTCAGACCACGAGAGCAAACCAGGATGCTCAGCCTTCAAAGCCTTCAGGTCCGACCCGAACCCCTCGCGACCAAACCAGCGAAACATATTTCCAAACTCAGCCGAATACCACAAGAGGAGCCGCACCAGGAACGAAAACGTCTGCGGCATTTCATGGCCGACTTTGCTCTTGAAGGTGGCATTCGCCTGCGACAGCGTGAGTACATCACCAGCCAAGGAGATGCTCCGGCCGGCAAAGTCATTCGGTCTCAAGAAGGCCTGCGCTGCGAACCAGCCGATGTCGCGGATGGAGACCAGCTGCAAGGGCTTGTCCTTGGGGATGGTCAGGTGCCACGACGTGGCCATGACCTTGGTGCCAATGCCGGGGGTCATGTTCTCCATGAAGGCGACAGGGCGCAGGATCGTCCATTGCATGCCCTTGCCTTTCGTCGAGTCGATTAGATGGTGCTCGATGTTGTGCTTGCTGATGAAGTGGGGAATATCCGTCGGGTTGACCAAGGATCTCTCTTCGCCGCCTCGCTCGGCCGAGGAATAGACGAAGAACTCAACACCGTTGGACAAGGCCCCGTCCACAAGCGCTTTGCCTTGTAAAAAGCCACGAGACAACTGTTCACATAACGCAGTGCGAACTTCCGAGTTTCCCAGGAACTTTGGGAGAACCAACAGAGATGGCAGTCTGAATCTAGTCCGTCGATAAAGCGCGGGATATGAAAGCTGGAAGATCAGAATCAATGAAAAGGGGGGAGTGGCGGAGCGCCACAAGGTCCACACCAGCGGTACAATCCGGGGTAGAGATCCTCGCTATTGATTGGCCACCCAGCATTCGGGACCCTGCATGTGCATGTGCCAACCCGCGTCACCAGCCACAACTACAACCCACCTTTGCTTACCTACACAGTAGGAGCAAAGCAGCTCCATCCCAGACCTCATTGATTCCACGCGAGAGCGCCGTCCAGCACTTTCACCACAATCACCTCCCTCCTCGCCAGCGCGCATCCAAACCGTCACCATGGCACCCGTGGCGTGCGCAGACCACAACGTCCTCGAGCGTAAGTCCACCTCGCCCACGACCCCTTCCTCAATCTCAGCCAGCCTCCTAACTAACACCGCCTACAGAGCAGCTCAAAGACACGATCCAGTCGCTACACAATGTAATGGTACAAGTGTCCGCCTACGACACCGCAACCGCCTCCTCCTCAACCTCGCCCATCTCGACTCCCGTGACGTCCATCTACGGCGGCCCCAACTCCAACCCCAACAACCCAAATTCCACATCCAACCTTACCACCGGCGCAGGCGCCGCCCGCCCCTCCCGCGACGTAATAGCCACCGAGCTCACCGCGCTGCAGCGCAGCCTCGCCACAGTCCACCGCACGGCATCCACACCGACCCCCGACGAGGCGCTGCCGCACATCCCGCCCGAGCTGATCCAGTACGTCGACAACGGGCGCAACCCGGACATCTACACGCGCGAGTTCGTCGAGCTCGTGCGCCGCAACAACCAGCTCATGCGCGGCAAGCAGGACGCCTTCGCGAGCTTCCGCGACGTATTGGCTGGCGAGATGGAGCGCGCCATGCCGGAGCTGAGGGAGGACGCGGCGCACGTCGTCGTGGCTACGGGGGGCAGGCAGCGTTAGGGGCAGCTGCGCCGGCCGGGGGCAGTGGACGGGCGAGGGTAGGTAGCATCGTGAGGGTGAGTACTCTCGGTGAAGGAGTGATTTGATTATTACTCGGCTTGCGAGGCGTTTGGTGGGCTGGCTGGTCACGGTGTATGATTGGTTTGGATTACACTACAGGTCGCATGAGTTTGGTGTTTCGGTTCGATTTGCGGTAGGCCAGCTCGTTTAATACCCAGAGGACACGGACGGAATATGCACACAGATTTATTATCTACCTCGATTTTGACGAGAGCAACGTGCCTTCGCCAATCTCCCTCGGAGGGGTATGTAGCAAAACTTTTGTCTAGCAGATGTGAACCTGACCCACGGCAGCACCCCGTTAAATGCAGAATGCAGAACCTCATCCTTGCTTCACTGTACTGCCCCCGAACATGAAATCATCAGGCTGGCGAGACCCTAGCCCTTCAGCACCTTGATCAGCTCGGCCACGACGGCGTCGCCCATCTCCTTAGTACCAGCCGAGCCACCGAGGTCCTTCGTTCGGACGCCGTTGTCGAGCACGGTCCGTACTGCCTTCTCGATGGCGTCGGCCTCCTTCGGTAACCGCAGCGAGTATCGGCACATCATGGCAATGGACAGGATGGTGCCGACGGGGTTGACGATGCCCTTGCCCGAGATGTCTGGGGCCGAGCCTGTTTTCATTTCCGAATTAGCAACCGAACAACAAAAAAAAACCCGCGTGGAGACTGGGGAGGGCCAGGGGGTACTGACCGTGGATGGGCTCGTAAATGCCATTACACCTGCTCTTGCCGTCCGGAATCCCGCTCAAGCTAGCGCTAGGACTCAACCCGATGCTGCCCGGGATCATGCTCGCCTCGTCGCTGATGATGTCGCCGAACAGGTTGCTCGTGACGACAACACCGTTCAGTCCGCGCGGGTTCTTGACCATGATCATGGCCGCGCTGTCGATGAGCTGGTGCTGCAGCTCCAGCTGCGGGAACTCCTTCTCCATGGTCTCGGTCACAACCTTGCGCCACAGCCGGCTCGTGGCCAGCACGTTCGCCTTGTCCAGACTCCAGACGGGCGCGGGCGGGTCGCGCGCGAGCGCCAGGTGCGCGGCGAGGCGGGTGATGCGCTCCACCTCGGGGCGCGAGTAGGGCTCCGTGTCCCAGGCCGTGCCGTCGCCGTCGTCCTCCTTGCGCTCGCCGAAATAGATGCCCCCCGTCAGCTCGCGCACGATGGTGAAGTCTGTGCCGCGGCACACGTCGGCCTTGAGCGGCGAGAAGTCGACCAGCGAGTCGGCCGGGAAGAAGCACGGCCGCAGGTTGCCGTACGTCTGCATCTCCTTGCGCAGGCGCAGCAGCCCTTGCTCCGGCCGCACCGCGCCCGTGCCCCATTCCGGGCCGCCGATCGCGCCCAGCAGCACCGCGTGGGCGGCGTTGGCGGCCGCGAGCGCTTTGTCGGTTAGGGGCGTGCCGTGCGCGTTGATCGAGCACTGTGGTGGGTGGGCGGCAGGTTAGTCTGCGGTATCCGTAATGGGAGAGGACGCGAGCAAGAGAAGAGGAGGAAGAGCGAGTGGTCGAGTAGGGGGACACGGGATTGCGTTGAAAGGAAGTATGTATGTATGCATGTGGGGGTACGTACGCCGCCGAGCAAGTGCTCCTGGAGGTTGAATTTGCCTGCCGCAGGGCTGTGGGACTCGATTGCCTTGAGGACCTGGCTCAACAGTCAATGCCAGCTCCTTTTTGTGTCGTTCCCCGTCTCGGATTCTGCCCTACCTTGATCGCCTCGACCACGACCTGGAGTTCAAGTCAGTAAACTGCCACGCCGTATGTCGGCCGGAGTAACGGCAACCTACCTCGGGACCGCAGTGGTCGCCGCCGAAGACCACGATGTCATGGGATGCCATCTCTGATCAATTGGAATCTGGGGAATCGGAGAAGACAAAAAAAAGAAGACGAAGTCGTGTGTTGTTTGCGGTTTCGAGTCGTCTTCGTCTGGTAACACAGGTTGATTTATCGAAATCCGATCGCCGGGCCCCGCGCTCAGTTGCGAATTGCGCTCGGGAATTTTGAACCCCACCATCCGAGATCGGCGCATTTCCATCTACCTGAGCAAGGTTGACTTTCAAAATACCGCCTTTTGTTACTTGAGCAACACTTAGCGAAGCTTCGCCTTACGTGTGTAAGCATTGCCAGTAGGTGGTTCGTGAGGAGTATCAAGGTGTTGTTTAGAAAAGTCGGTAACGACGGGGCTGATATTCTTCACGTGGGACTGCTTCGAAACCCACCTTGTTGTATCCGATCCGTGAATCAGGAATCGTATAGGCAGCTGTGAATCGAAACTCCTTTGTGGAATGATTTTCAAGTGATGTGTTGGCAATACATTGAACTCGAGGGCCTCCTTTCACCGGAGCAGACTATGCAGTTGTTGAAGTTAACTCGCTTGAGGTCTGAGTTGGGCTGGCAGTTCTGCGCACGATAGCATCATGTTGCAGGGAAAGCACTCCACTCTGCTGGGTCTATGCACCCATGGCCTACCAAGTCACGTCCGGACCTGCATCAATAGTGTAGGTTGTATTTGGGACGAAGTGAAGGTGGACCTCAATCAGGTGCCTATGCATAGCCACCCACCCGGGCTGTCTGCTGTCTGTTCACATGGAAGGTTTGATAGTCCTAACTAGACGCCATCACCAGAGTGGTGATGTGAACCAGCCACCGGGATTCCCGGTTATCTTTCCTCGTAGCTCGGTTCATAAACATTACTCATATTCTCTGTTTATCATTACCGGTAGGTATGTGTGTGATTAGGGTATCAGATACGCGCGGGATACCCCCTCCAGGTCTGCTCAGCCGCCCTGTCCAACAAGTTTCGGCCTTCCCCTATATCTTGTGAGTGTCACCTACGCCCGTTACCTTCGTCCCCCCTTTATCATTGCCGGTATTCAAAACTCGATATTATTGATTCGGAAAGACCGCTGCAGTCGGATCGGGGAAGGGTGTCCCTTCATCTGAACGATTTGAACGACTTGCGGGCCAACGGAGACGTAGCTGATGCCCGCGGATTCGACCCTCCCATATTCCTCCGTACCTCTCGACCACGCATACCATGGGCATTGGGCGTGTTCGCGCAGAAGGCGCATATGTAGACCCGAGGCAGGGTCTGCCGTGTGATGTTGACGCACTTGCCGTGCAAGAACATCTCGCATGATTCGCTGCATGCTGTCAGTCAAGTCCGTCATCAAAGCACCAGAGGGGCCGGTGTGTACCATTGCACCATGTAGCCATCTCCATTGATATGACTATCGGTGGTATTGCAGACACAGCGGATCTGGTTGCCTCGATCCGTCGATGGTGTGGGGATACTGATGTGGGTGAGGGTGGTGGGAGATACGGTCGAGTTGGCGCTGTACGGCGGTACAGATGTGAACCGTTGGTTGGTGTTCAAGGCCGATACTCTTTTCTGCCGATCCTCACGGACCTTGCGCAGTTCGCTCGCAGCATCGCCTCGGCTGCCTCTCGTGGGTACATTCAGCACCGTCTCGGCTTCGCTTTCGGCATCGTTTTGCGAAGAAACAGGTTCATTGAAGAAGATGCCCAGGCTGCCGGTGCTTTGCTCGCTGAAGCTTCTCTGGGACGAGTCGAGAGCCCGCGCCAATGCCGCCCTCCGTGGTTCTGGCATTGCAAACGAGGTATTTCTGCTTGGGATGATGATCGGTTCTTCGTCTGTTGACGAGTCGTCGTCTTCCGATGACTCCCAATGTTTGCGAGGACTGCGGTTGTCCTGGCTCCGCACCGCCTTTGGCGTGTGTTCATCATCCCCCACAATGACCGTCGTTTCAGCATGGGCCCGGCCCCGAGAATCGATTGTGAACTTGACCGATGTTCGGGTCCGAGGTGCAGTCGTTTCAGGGATGGAGGTTAAGCTGGTTAATCGGTGGTGGTTCTTCAACGGTGATGACCGCCCATTTGCTTTCGAGCCTTGAGACACTGACCGACCGCTGCCAAGCTGTGGGTTTGGCCTGGCAGCTGGGGCGAGGGTCGGAAGGTTGGATGCCCTGCCAGTCGGGTTTCGTCCCCGATTCTCACTAACACTCCGCGATAGACCCGGACGAACAGACGTCTTGACTGGCGAGCTTGCGGATGCCCGGTTTATCTTCTTTCCTTTGCCAGTTTCCTTGGTACTACCCGAACGACGGATCTGGCTACGCTTTACCTTTTCAGCGCCCACCGGGAGAAGCTCTGGTGCTGGCCAAGATTGCATCAAATGCGACTGTGACATGGGATCAAAAATGGCCATCTCCATGCCCGAAGATGGAGGTTGGGTGAACAAGAGTCCCGGATTCACACCACTGCCCGGATTCATCATGGCGAAGGCCTGATCCATTGGAGCTGAAAATGACTGCCCAAACATTGAAGCATCTGACATGCTCGTGTCTACATTCGGCATTGGAGGTTTCGGCGCAAGCACCCGTTCTTTCCGTTGGGGTGGATTGTTGTCATGAACCTGCGGTGGCGGGACAACTCCCGTTTCTTGAAAGACGTCGTTGGATTTTCCCCAATCCAAAGAGGCCATGGGTCGGTGGTTTGCAGCTTGGAACATGTTTCCGCCAGCCGCCGCAAAGTCGAAATCCATCGTACTCATACCGTTCCAGAAGTGACCGGAATCGGTGAACGCCGGAGCGGTGGCGGGTGCCGAAAGTGGGCACCCGTACATGCCAATCGGGGTTTGGACAAAATGTTGCATGGGCTGCTGCTGCGGCGTGCCGGCTACGAACTCCTCGTATTCTTCATTTTGCATGGTGTCTGTCTGAAGCTTCGGGGCAAGCCGCCGTGCTCCCTTGTGGGCAGAAGGTGGAGGCGTAGCCGTTTGGACCTGGCCCTCCCTCAGTGTTCCCCGGCAGACTCTCTTAGATGGCCCCTGTTGCGAAGTGACTTGGAAGTCGGAGTTTGTTGGACTGCGGCCGGTGATGGACGGATCGGGGGATGATTGTAGTCGTTGAGAGGGGTCGACGGGCGGTAACGGCAGATTCGGGTTCGGAGAGAAATGGTTGACATGAGTTGCTATTTGAGCACCTAGACTCTCCGAATGCTGCCTTTTATGGCCCTGATATGGTGTAGTGACGGAGAAGTCGAGAAATGCACCGTGGGAGCCTCGAAGGTTTCCAGGAGTCGAGTTGAAAACAGAGTATTCTTCGGCAAAGCGAGGTGTCCAACTGGACAGTTCCTCGAAGGAGTTATGCCTGTGCTTGGGTGTCTCGAAGGCAGGGTCCGGAAAGCTGGCCGATGTTGGTGTGTGTCTCGGGGTCGGAGGCTGAGCGTTTGGATCACCCAAGCTGTACACGGTTGTTAGCAGATGGACAAACGGAACTCCACGTCGAAAATGTCTTGCCTGGAAGTTGTTGGGTCTTCACTCATAGCAAATCCTCATTTACCCCAGGGCCAAAGAACACCGCAGCGGTTGAGTCGAACAGTAGCGGTGGAAGATGGCGAGTCAAATAGCCAGGGCATCAGTCCAACAAGGCTTGGCAGGCTGAGCTCGAGGAAACGACGAATTCAGGAGTCTTGAGGCTATATTGTGTTCTGGGAGAGTGGTGTATTATTCGGCATTAGGTCTATAGTCGTTGATCGTAAACCGCAATCCTCGGCAACCTCAAGGCACACCTACACCAGAAGTAAGCTTATCATTAGCCCGAACTTTCCCTGGCGGCCGGGCTGCGGAGGGGTTTGTTTACAGGTGTCCCGAGAAATGACAACACACCAGTGAAGCAAATCGTCAAACCCTCATTAGTCGTAAAGCCAAAAGACGAAAAGATAGCTGGCTGAATATTATACAGCCATTGGCGGCAGTCGAAGAACGGAAGTACGTTAGTTAATGGGCGGTTGCTAGAGTCGAGCGTTGAGCAGTTGGACCGGTAAATTTTAGAGGAAGGTCTGTGCTCAAGTCATTGCTGCAATGGAAACCCGAATCTTGGCCGATCTGCACTTGCAAGTTGTTGGTCCGTGGCGGCGTGGAGGCAGGGAGGGAATATTTCCGCATTGGATGACGAGAGTCCTACGAGATCTTCAGCTGAATGATGACGATACCCGGTTTTGGAGCAATAAAAATGCGGTTATACAACAACGTCTCGGGAGGAGACCAGATAGAGGTAAATAAATCTACGCACTCTAGAATCCGAACAATCGATAGGCCGAAGCAAGCGAAAGCGCGTAAAAATCAATGCAGGGGAAAAGAAGAGAGTTTGGCTTGACAGTGACAAGATGAATGGGTCCATGTGGCATGGAAGTCGGTTCCGGGATAATCCCCGCAAAGGCTCTCTTCAATTACAGACCGAAAGCGAGGACCATTCTCCACGTGAGATCACCTCCATGTTGGTGGAAGCATTCTCTGGGCATCCATTTTCAGCCGGGAAAAGGTCCTACAGGGACCCTCCCAAGAGGCCAGGAGTTTCATCAGCAGAATGCCAATGGATAACTTCAAGCGACGCCCACCGTTTAGCGCTGTCGCAGGCTATTCGACCTGCCAACCAGACGACGGGTGTTGGGAGCTCGTCCTGCTCCGTCCGGCGTCCGCCCTAAGCACGCACTTGCAGCTTGGGATTCGGACCTGCAGCAAGGCACACGAGCTACTGTGCTTACTGCACGAGTCCCAGTCCCGGCTCGGAGGATGGTCCAAAAGAAGTCAGTATCGGTGAGTTGTCAATCCACATGCAGGTGTAAATTAGATGGCTGTCCAGTGTCGACAAGCAATGGCATGCCGAGCGTTTCTTCTCGTGCAGTGACATACATACGAACGAGACATCATATCGTCGTACAGTAGACGGCCTCGAATCATGACAGTGGATGGCGTTACGGTGATCCGCCTGCGAAGCCATCGTTGCATGGCATTCCGGTATAACGGGTTCGTTGTATGGCATTTGAGGATTAGACCCGTGAACCTGCATGAATATGGAGAGTAGGTTATGAGTCAACCGGGTGGATGGAGCCCCACGTCGGAACGTTCAAGAGCCAGGCAGCTGCCAGGCCGCCATCAACTGCGAAGGCGAGTGGTGACCGGGTGGCCGGGTGGCTGGTGGTCGCCGGTCGGACGGACCCTGTCCTTTGAGAGATCCTGTAGGACCCCTCGAGATCGTCAACGAGGAGAGCCCAGTCGCTCGAAGAGAATACGATGTCCACCAATTTCTCATAAGAGCAGCAGGATGAGATGATTGAGCATCTTAGCGTACGACCACATCAGCGCTCGCCGGTACAACGATGTCAAACGGTGCCCCGGTATGAATGAAGTTGAGATGTTGCATATCCGCTGCCATCTCATCGTCCGATAGCTACAGTGGGCGCAGCGCACCACATGTTAGCTACTCTGCCCCAGCTTGAATCTCTTCGCGCCAGAGGCGTGCCTCATCAAGCGCCAGGCTTGGAGAATGGCTTCCAACCGGACCCTATGTGGCACTGCCGCTCTCACAAGCTACTGCTGTGGATTTGGAGAAACTTCTCCTTGCGATGTGAACAACGTAGAGCCCAGGTAATGGCACAATTGCGCGCTGCTGCTTGAAGCCCTCGCGATCTCCATGACCGCAAACTACTCCGACTTTACAGCAGGCGGTGTTGGCGCCCAAAATACCATCGTGGTTCCCGGTTGGCTCCAGACCCGGTGAGACGGTTGGCATGCCAGAGTAGTGCCACAGCCAGACACAATCGACAACCAACTGCGTCGCACAATGTGTCATATTCTCGAAGCGCTATTTCGAGACTTGGAAGGCTGGCGATGACGTCGGATCTGCCCTACAGCTCATTTCAAAGATCCGTGCTCGTGGCTGATCGTCCGCGGAAACAGTTGAAACACCGACATCAGAGCCCACTCACTCACTCACTTCCACCTTGCCGTTGAAAGAGCTTGCGTTCCCCGTTGCGTCTCTGGTGGCTCGAAGTAACCAGAATCGGGATGGAATGTGTTTTTGGGGCGAAAGGGGCACAGCACAGCGCAGGGAGCGAGCGTATCGTGTTGGTGATACCCAGCTGGAACGATTGGAATCTGCCGGTTGCCAGTTGGAAAGATTCTGCCAGAATGACTGGCTGAAAAGCACGGCCGGGACTCCTAGCGCGATACCCCCCCAAAGCAGCTGCGGCGGGGCAGAAACATCGGCAGGATTTGATTGGCTGAGGTGCTCTGGCAGCGATTTCCTAAAAGGGGTCAATTAAACCTCCACGTTTTGCGGCTTGCCAATGCAGCAGGGCAGATTGGCACTTCACGGACCTTTGTTGCTTCTCCCAGGAACCAATTCCAGGAGGATGGCTCTCAGTGCCCAGCTATCTTCTTTGGCATTTCCACAACGTCATAATCAGAGAAACATCCTTCACCGCTTCGACTCTACGTCTCGATAATTTCCCTCAACAGGTGGCTTACGGGGGTGTTCAGCCCTTTGGACCCCCAACTTGCCGGTTACATTCCACTTCCAGGGCGAGGCCACGACCTACGAAGGAAAAGGCACTCCAAGCCGACCCAGACCCAGGCTCTCGACAAATCTCACATGTCATAGGCCAAGGGGTCGTGGTCTATTGACCGACTATCAGATACGAGCCGCCTTGCGCAACGGAGGCCCCAGTTGAGTGAGCCACTGCATGAATGTGGGAGATTACAAGATTCCCTCGGGTAATACCCAGATCAGTAGCCTCGTACAACTCGATCAATCAAGCAGCGAGCACAATTCTGGGATATCGGGGCTTTGTTCTCCTCTACCGCTTGATATCTTATCTTGTTCACTGTCCCTACTTGTTGTTCCACGTCCTCTTCTGGCTTCAGCAATATGGTCATGCTCCTGTCAAATGGGACCCCTGAATTCGTATCGAGGACCAATGCTGTAAACTGAAGCCACTCGGCGATGGCACGAGATAATTCAGAGCAAATGTGCTGTTCATCACGATGCAGTCAATGAATGATCCGGCTATCAAACTCAAATCATTAAGAGTAAAGACATCGAGGCAATAGCATCCGTACCAATTGTACAGAGTCCATTTCTATAAGTCGTTATCAATACAGAATCAGTCCGACGTGGGTGGGCAATCATGATCGATATACCGTGCGACGTCCGACTCGGTCCCCACCCCGGCTGGCCGACCGATTGACCCCCTTTTTCCAAAGCTGACGCCTTGGTATTCTCTCTACTATAACCAAGTGGCATGCGGATTGTGAAGGAGGCTGTTTCTTGTGGTTTGAGTTATTACACGCGGCTATGTCTCTGTGTTGCATATCAGCCGCAATAGCATGCGTTGCAATCATACCACGCGCCTTATAGCGCACAGCAAACCTACAGGCGCTTCGAATTTTGGATTGGGGCTTGTTGGAAATGTTGCTTGATTCTCCCAGTATGAGGTATAACGATGGCTAACTGGGCTAGATAACATCAGTCCTCTTTCGTTAGCATGTCTGTATGTCTCCCAAAGCTCGCAGCTCAGCGTCCAAAAGTCTGCAGCTATCACAGCGAGACCGACACCGTAGTAAGTCTGAGTAAGTACCTATGCTTCCACTCTCCCAGTCCGATCACCACCAGACATCCGTGTCAAGCGCAGCCCATGCAGCAAACCTCACAGCGGCCCCTTAGCCCTTCTTCGCCGGCGACGCCTGAACTGCACCCGTCAACTTAGGCTTCAGCGTAGCATCCAAGTACGACACGCCGCGGTAAAAAGCACCCGTCTTCAGTTCGACGGCGCACGCCACCCAAATCCACAAGAGGATGCGGTACCACATCCCCGCGGTCTGTGGCAGCGTGGCCAGGCTCGCCAGGTCGTTCTGGCATTCCCGCAGCGTCCACGTCACCGCCGTGCAGTTGCCGACCATCGACGCCAGAGGGAAATTCGTGTCGCGCGGTAGTGTCTCGGTCATGGCGATGGCACCGACTATCGTCGCGATATAGCCAATGGAGGCGAAGCAGTAGATGGGCCATACGGAGCTGGCCTCGTGGCACTGGCACTGCTGCGCGCTGGTCCTGGCGATATGTTGGAGAGCCCCTGCAGGCAGACGACGGTGAGGGCGGCGCAGCCGAGGAAGCAGCCGATCGGACCTTCGCGGGATTATGCGACGACGGTGGGCGTCGTGATGGTAGTCTTGGTTGTACTCGTGGTTGTGGGGACCTTGGAAGGTGGGCTCGACAGGGTAGTCCAGGTGGTCGTAGATGCACTTCTCGCAGTGGGCATCTTTGGGCTGTCGTCGTCGAGGAAGGCGACGTGCCGGGCGTGTAATTCGAGGATGTCGACATACTGGTTGCTCGTGTGTCTGGTACTCTCATGGAGACGAGTAGGGCTCTGGCCAGTGTGTCTGTGGTTCGTCTGGATTGGATGAATGGGCAAACCTACGGGATGGTGTGCAGTTAGGTATATGGTAAGGTCGGGCAAATTGAGATGGACACGTGTTGGTAGAGGACACAAGAAGGATTGAGTTGTGACGAATGCATGTGGTCTACTCACATAGAGTTTAGCCATCACATGGAAAGGGCGCATTCCAAGTCCGTACCTACCGTCAGATGTCTGTGGCAAGCCGGAAGGCTCTTTCCTCGGTACCTACTTCTTCGCCAGGAGGAAACACTCCTGATACCTGGAAGTTACCCCTTCCTCAAGTCCGTTTCTTGACAATGAGACGGGGATCTAGAGGGTTGTAGATGGTGTGCCTTCCGTCTAACGTGTACTGCCCACGGGAGAATGGAAACCAGGGTCAGATCGCCACTTCCTCCGAAGCATCTACTCTTGAAGAATTGGAAGGTTCAACCCGTGTTAGCACTACCTAGGTACGATGTGATTCATCAGCCGATTGTAAACTACAACTGCAGGAGGGATGGGGGGCTTGCAAGAAGCTGCTGTTGGCGAAGCATCACCTCGGCTTGATGCCAGTTCCCGCCATCCACGGACGTCCGCAAGAAGGAAGTAATGGCCGGGTGACAACCTTAAACCTGCAAGTGGTCATCAATAGTACTGCATTTTACCTGATCACTCGCCAACATATAATTATGCAGTCGGATGGCAGGCCAGACTTCTTTCTCGAGTAAATCAACATAGTCACGGAATTGCGGCCGCCAGTCTTCTTTACTGATGTCTCATACTTCAATCATTGAATGGAGAACCAAAGCAGGGAACAGCTACATTGGTTGCAAGTCTACCTCTTAGCATCGAAGCTAGAAAGAGCCTCCTATACTGCACAACCTCCTGATCATGACCTTCCGACGCAATAACCTAGTCAGGCCATCTCAGCCGCAATACCCGTGTCTGATCTAGCACCTATTCCGAATCCGCCTCGAATCCTTTATCCATAAATGTCATCATCCTCAGCACTCGGCTTGAACTCGTGGGGCTTCGCTCGAAGGGGGACCGGTTCGCTCACGTAAGAGTTGGTTTGGTTCCCGAAGGGGCAACCCTCGTAGGACGTGGTTTGGTCACCAAAGGCCTGGAGCTCGTGAGACGTGGCCCCAGGACGGAATTTCTGGAACTTGGGAGGCGCGACTCGAGGACCGGAGGGCTCGAACTCGGTAGCTCTCGGCTTGAACTCGTGGGGCGTGACTCGAACGGGGACCGGCTGGATTTCGTGAGACTTGGCTCCGGGACGGAAGGGCTGGAACTCGGCAGGCGCGGCTCCATTACTGTAGGGCTTGAACTCGGTAGCTCTCGGGTTCGGTTTGATGCCTGCCTGGTTTCTGGTCGGGGTCGCTGCCTCGTCACTGGTCGCCGTGGTTGCCTCGTCTTGGACGCGCGGGTTGGGGGGCTTGACGGCCTTGTCGGGGGTTGAGACTCTCACGCCAGCCTTGGCTGCCTTGTTGATGAACTTCTGGGCGGCTGGGACTTGTCAGTTACGTGAAAGAGCAGCAAGGTCACACTGGACACGTACCCTCAGATGTCGCCTTCTCGGGAGACGTGACGCGAATGCCGACCAACGAGGCTCTACGAGCGAAGGCCGCCATTCCTGTTACGCGTCAATATAATACACAATGCGTGGCTGTGGATGCGCAAGTAGGCTTACCGGTATCGTTGGGAGCTTGCGACATCATGGACGGTTTCTTCAGTGCCGAGGCAAGTGCGTGCCGCGGGAGTGCTGGCCGGACAGATGCAGAATCGCGACGCGGTGACTCAGACGCAGGCGCGGACGACGGGACGTGGACAAACGTGGCGCATGAGGGCTGCTAGAAAGGGCCTCGATACTGGTTTGCAGATTGAGGAGGTAGCTTCAAGACCCAGGCTGGTTCCCAGATGCGCAGAAGCACAGGTGTGAGGAAGCAGAAGCTGGTTGCGTGGGACACCTCGCGCCTTTAATGAACAACCGCACAAACAACACCATTCGCCTGGCTGTATCTACCTCAGAAACCTTGGGGCAGCCACTTCAGAACCTCCCCACAAGCCAGGCGTCCAAATCTCTGCCTTAGCGTTGATCACCGAGCCGCAGCCGCTCCTTTTCAATCAGGTGGTTTTCGTGTCGACCTCTCCCTCAAAGCTAATTCTCATGTCAGAAACCTAGGTACCTTGAGTCCTTCCTTTTGCCCCTTTCAGAAATGAACCTTAATCAGCGCGTGAGTTCCAGCAACCAACCATGAAGTCTCTGCCTTGGTCAGGGCCAGTGGACATGGTCATCATAGACGTAGCACTTAGGCTTGCTTCCTCGAACAGACAAAAATACTAACATCGTCATTACTACCACCGGAGTCATTTTGGCACCCAGTGACACGCCCATGATCGCGGTACTAAAAAGCCGCCCGTGACAGTATCCGAACGATCCTGTGTTGCTGACCTCGGGAATTCAACCAGTGGCCGCGCGGTTTGGGAGAAACTCTCTCAACCACGTGACCAACCGTCAACTAGCAGCCACGACGCTTTGGCAGCCTCTCTTGAGAGCCACGCTGAAGCTAAAGGCTGTATCAGCAATTTTATAGTCACTGTTTCAGGCTTGAGGGTGTGGCCTTTGAACTGTTGGCTCTTCTTACTTGTTACTGGACCTCTGGTCCCACCATATCTGAATGACCTGTGGTCACAAAACAAAACAACTCGATCCGAACGATCCCAAAGACATCGGGCAGAGGGGTCCGCCTTAATCGAAAACTCCTTTTCAGAAGGCAAGGTAGAGGGGTCCTGCTTGGTCAAATGCCCCTTTTTCGAGAGGTAGGGCCACAAAAGGGGTATACTTGACATCTTACATAAGCTAGCCCCCAAATAAGGAATATAGACAGTCAGTGGCCAAAATAGACGTAGAAACGTCCATGAGGCCATGAATCAATCTACACTCGCGCATTCTTCTCTCCTTGTCGACACCTCGATCGGCCTATGGCCCACTACCCTGCGCAACGTGGTCTTTCGGCGTCTTCGAGGCCCAGCCGCAGCCGAACCTCGAGACACCGGCCTTGCAATCGCCGTGGTCGATATTGATGCATCCATTCGCTCTGTTTCTCTGTCCTTGGTGATGACGGATACGTCGTTGATGTTGGCCATGCTTAAGGTTTCTGTGGATGGAGATGATTTGTGGCGTTGTAATCAGTTAGACTCTGCGTACAGCACGGGGGCTCTGCTTTTGGTTATATTTTAGGGCATTTGGGTTCGGTTCTTTCTTGCGGTCGAAGAGCTTAATAATGAAGAAAGTCGTATCTCGTGGAGTTGACCGTGAGGCGTATCCACGACCAAGCAAAAGTTGTGGCGAGTGAAAGCCAGGGAGACCAAAAGACCAAAAGACCTTCCGCTGGATAGGAGAAGTGACGACGCAGACGTTATTGATACCCTTGCTCCTTGCTGAGAGCCATCGATGCAGGATTGAGCCTGAGAGTCGACTAGAGAAGAGGAGAAAAGATGGCTTAAAGCCCTACGGGCTAATCCTTATATATACTTGTTCTTGTTTTTTAGCTAGCTTTATAGTTCCTTTTTTTACTTATATTAATAAAGTCATTTTTATAGTTATTTATAGCTAAATTATAACAGTTTAATATATTAATTCGGTTTAATTCAGTATATATTAATTCAAAGACTTTTTAATTTCGTTTTAGCTTTGTTTTACTTCCGATTTAGTTTCAATGTTACTTTTTTAAGCGTTTTAACTCGGATATTTTATTTTGCTGACTTTTCATTACTAGTTTTTTACTGATTCTTAATTATTTTGATATTGTTATTATTTCATTACATTTAAATATTAAATTAAATCCAAGGGTATCTTAGATTTAAATTAAAACGATGTTTTTTTAACGCTATTTGGTTATATCTTGTTTGTTTTACTGCTGCCCTGACTTTTTCGTTATTATTAAACGTTATATTAAATAGGTTGAATTCTTTTATCTAAGCGTTAAGTTTAATAATAACGAAATTATTATAACTTTATTCGGTTTAAGCGTGGCATACGCCATCGGAGGGCAACCAGGCCCGAGGGCTAGCGAAGAAGATGCTCACCACGCAAGCGGCGTGTTTAAGGGTGGTAGCAGGGGCCTTTAAAGCCACGCCGCAACATTTGCTGGAGACAGAGACCGGTTGTCCCCCACTGAACGCATACCTAGATATGAGGGTGGCGGCGTTTAAAGGTCGAATGTACGGAGAGGCCGGTAGATACGTTACTGCCGAAACAAGAAAGGTGGCAGAGAGGGCGAGAGACGCAAGGTTGGCGGTAATGAAAGCCGCAAGAAGACTCGCGCAAGGCGGCAGACGGGGGAGAGGTCAGCCTCGGCAGTCGCCCCACGCAACAGCGTCCCCGCAGAAGGATAACCCAACGGACCGGAAGGAGGCGATCCTAAAGTGGCTGGGCCAAGACCACCCGGAACAGGCACTGGAGAGGTCGTGGAGGAGTCGATAGATAGTTGCCATCGCAAGAGCCAGCCAGACAGGAGTTGCTGCGAGGTCGCTGGCAGCTCAAAGAGAATTCCCACAGGAGCTCGTAGGGGCGGTCCCGCAGTATTACTACAGACTGCGGAAACACGAGGCGTCTGCCCTATGCCAGGTCCGGACAGAGACCATTGGCTTGAGGGCTTTCCTGTTCCAGAGGAGAGTGCCAGAAGAGGCTACACCACGTTGCGACTGCGGCGAGAAGGAGACGGCATACCACGTAACGGTTCAATGCCCTCTATACGCGGCCCAAAGAGGCAGACTGCAAGCCTCTCTCGGGACGAGAACGTTACGGTCAAGGAGAGACTTCGAGAGCTTGCTGTCAGATCCGGACGAGACCCCGAAATTTATACAGTGGTTTTTGAGACTAGGGCTACTGGAGATATTCTCACTAGCAAGGAAGCTAAGCGGTGGCGAGGTGGCCCAACAGGCGCCAAAGAGCCGGACCGCAGAGGATATAGAACAGTACCAGATAGAATGGAGAAGGAGGGGGGATATGGTAGTAGGGATATCACGAGGCGGAGAGGAAATATCACGAGGGGGAGGGGGAATATCACGAGGGGGAGGGGGAATATCACAAGGGGGAAGAGGTCTCAGGGGCCAAGGGATGCGCGCCCTATCAGGTTAGTTAAGGCGGTGAAGGTCATGACATACAACTGTAGCAAACCGCGGCGGAGCCGTAACGAAGCCAGAACTAGACCGTAGCGTGTGGGTTTTCATCTCCTGCGGGATTTTATCATACGGAGATAGATTGTAGGAGGTCTGCATGCCGGACGACTCTCCGAGATGTCCATACGGCGGGTCAGCGTATGAGTAATAATAATTATTTGGTTTAATTTTTAACTTTTCAGATGTTGAAATTTTCGATAGTTATTAGAATATCTTTAAGTTTTATACTTAATTAGATTAAAGCGTAATGGTTAAAACTTTCCACATCAAAACGGAGCTTTCTTAAATATAAACGTATTTTGAGCTTGTAACGATTTTAGTATAGCTTAACTTGCTTAAAGTTATATAAAGGCCTGCGAGTTTTAGTTTTAATCCTAATATTTTTAAGTTAAAGCGAGCTTATTTAATTTTTAGTTTATTAACTTTTTACGGGCTTTAAATTAGGACTTTTTAATCTAAGTTGATTAATTTTACGAATAGGTTTATAATGTTATTGTTTTAATGCGATTATTACTTTAATATGCGATGAATTGGCGGCTTATTAATAGCGGGGCTTTAATACGATAATTTTTACTGGGGATTAAAAAATACATTAGTTTTGAATAAGAAGTATATATTAATTAACGTGTTTATTATTTTATTAAAATAACATCTAATGAGGCTTTTTTATTATTAACCCTATTTGTTATGTTTTTTTATGTTTTTTTAAACCGGTCTATGCTTACGTTTAAAATAATGTTGATTTAGTTGTAAAAAATATTATTTAAAGCTTTATCAAAACTATCCTTAACGGAAAGAAAATTACGTAGCTTATAAAATAAGATAATTTTAACGACTTAATCGTATATTTAAACCTAACTTATATTGTTATAAAAGGCAATACTTTAATACTTACAGCATTTTAAAAGCTTAAAGTAAGTCAAAAAAAAATTAATTTAATTTCGCGTATTTAACGATATATTAACGCTTTTAAAGTTAAGAACGAATAAAAAGTGAAATCTTTTAAAAATAAAGTTTATAAAGAGTTATAAAACGGTTTTATATTAGTTATAATCTGCTTTTTAAACATCTTAATTTTATTGGCTAAGTTTGATTAACTCATATTACAAGTTTGTTAATAACTTTATTAACCGAGATTTTCGTTTTAAGCCTTTAAAAGGTAGCTAAAAGCCTAATTTTATTCTGTAAAACGATTAAAACGGTCTTATCTAAAATATTAAATAAGAAGAATTTATAAATTTTAATAAGGTTAATATTTTTTAAGGCTTTATTACTACTAATAAAAAGGCTTATTGCTAATATGTTAATCTCTATAACTATTACGGTGGTTTAAATTATTAGACTATAAGCTGCCCTGTTAAAAAAGCGGTTTAAAAACGTTAAAAAATCGAAGCTGATATATAAGCTAACGGTTAAAAGAAAGTTTAATGTTTAAGAACGATTATTTTTAAAGGCGTTTATTTAAGCATTAATTTTATAAAGGAAAAAAGCTAGGTTTATATATACGTATTATAAGTTTTAATATGAAAAGGTTTTTCTAAAAAAGATTATATTAATTATATGTGAATTTATATTGGATATTAGCTGTAGTTTACAATGTTTTATCGAATTTCTTTTTACGTAATAATTTAACTTTACCTTTGAACAGTTTTAAAACTTAGATACTTAATATTCAACCGATAAAATTATTAATAGCTTTAGTATTTAATAGGCTATGTTTTAATATATTATCAGTAAGATGTTAGAAGATTTTATTTTATTTTAATAATTTTTAAACGGTTTTAACGTTATGTAAGGGTTTAGGTAGCTGAATGCTGAAGCAAGATGATAGTGGTGATTCCAAGAAGTAGGTGTATTCAGATACTACAATCTACCCTGCTGAGATTGTGGGAATTGAGGGTTTTAAAGAATATGACAGTGGAGCCTTAGGGCTCCGGTCGGGGGCTGGTAGGCCTGTCGTGCAGGTGCAATACCCTCACACGTTATTCTAGGACTTTTTAAACTGTAATATTATAACCTTTTTTATCGGTTAAACCGTTCGTATTATATAATTTAAAAAATGAACGATGTATATTAGCTATGCCTTTAAGTTATTATTGATGATTTTTTAAAATAACGGCTTATTGTGACGGAACGCTCACCATAACCACTATGCCACGGCTGTTCCTCCCAAAAGGATGTCGAATATCAAGCGTGGCAGCTTGACATTCAATGGTGGTACATGTACTCATGTCCAGGCTCCAAGACTCACCACATGGGCTACCTATACCAGACCATGACACTTATACGGTTTTTAAAATGTTTCATTTAAAGAAGTAAAAAAAAAAAAAAAAAAAAAAAAGAATATCGATGTGATGGTTCCACCATCCATCAGGTCTAGCGTCCCCATGGTCCCCGGGTCACGTGACTGAGTACGTGACTGATCGGACGATAGGTTGATCCATGCCCTGGTGGGTCTGGTGGGGGACGACTGCCCGCATCTAGCTGCCCACCAATTTGGGTTCATCTCCAGGTCTTTCTTTTCCTTCAATCAGAGTCTGTTGTACGTTAATAGTCAATAAGGGTCCCTGTATCCTTCTAATACATTTACGGAATCGTGGCAAACTCTGGTTCAACATCTACCGTCTTGGACGACTCTAAAGTCCCACAAACAAACCAATTTGATTGATACCCAATACAATACAACGCGATCCTTGGACGCGTCAACCCCAGATACGATACGACTCTACCCTGATCCCTGACCCTTTCTTATACCTACTCTTCATCCGATTCACTAATCATCATGATGGCTCGTGGAGATGAAGAGCGCGCGCGCCTGGCCAAGGCCAACGAGCAGGTGCGCTTCAAGGAGTCCGACTACCTCAAGCACTACCTCAAGATCATGAAGAAACGGGACTCAATCATCGCAAACGCAGCAGAGGCAGCCTCTGATCATCGAATCCCTGAAGTCCTTGATCGCAACCGCATCTTTGATCAATATATTTTTGACAATTGGCTTCCCGCTAAGAAGTTTGAGCAACTCTGTTATCAGGTGAGCCTGGATGATATCAACACAGATATTGTCAACCAGATTCATCACTACGCTGTCATATTCGCGAACCCAATGTCTACTGACGGCTCTGTCATGCCTTTTGTTCCCCTCTTGCATGACTCTTAGCAGCAGTGGCCCGATCTTGTCAAAGGTCAGACTCTTAGCCTTGCTCGCTTCAAGGAGCTGTATGATGAGAACCCCAATACCCTGTTTCAAGAGGTAAAGCTTCGCACCTTCATGTTGATGGCAAGCAAAGACCTCTTTGGGGAGCTCCAAAAGATCCTAGCGACTGCCGACACCAACCTTGCTGTCGTCCGTGAGCACGCCCTCGCCTTTGCTGAAGACCTGATCAAGGCCAAAGCAACAATTACCTCTCCACAATCTGATAAAGAGAAGGTTAACAACAGAGGAGTGCGAATCCGCTCTGCTGCCCGCGTCGCTGAGGACGATACCCTGATCGAGCAAGTCAACACTCAGTGGGACAATATCATCAAGGAGAAAGACAAAGAGATTCAGCTGTTGCGCGAGAAGGTTATCAGCATGGCTGGAGCCACCACTGGATCGTCTCAATCCAGCAGAAGTACCTGGCTGAGCCCTAAGCAGAAGGATCCCCCTGTTTTTACTGGCAATAAGCCTACTGCAGAGAACAAGTTCCCCGTTAAGTTTGATCATTGATACATGATCCTGACCAAGAAGCTTACCAGCAACGCCAATCACTTCCCTACCGACGATGACAAGATTACATACATCCTTGGCCACCTTCAAGGTTCGGCATCCGAGGGTCTGATGCCCTTCCTGGAGGTAGACGAGGCCACCGGAGTAATTCAACGATCTGACAATGTCCTCTGGCACGGACTTCATTAACTTCTGACTTGAGTTCGTGAAGCTAGCTGGCCAGGCAAAGAAGGAAGTCTCTATCTGGAAGGAAGAGCTATTCAAGCGGCTTCCCAACCGCCTGAACACTGCTTGCTTAGACAAGTACCACGATGATGAGGTTGACTTCAAAGGCTTCTGCAAATACGTCTTGCGTCATGACCGACAACAACGCAAGAACTATCTCATCACCCAGATGCGAAAGACGGATACCCCCAAGATCACACAGAAACCTGACGCTCAGAAGGGTAATGGAGGAGGTCTTCCCCAAGGTCCTCCCCAGGCCCCCCGTCAGCAACCTGCCCTCGGAGGGTTCCCCAGTTGCCAACCTTCTCCGGGTACTGTTGAGCATTACAATCTCCCTGTTCTCGGTACAGCTTCCGACGGACAAAAGATGTACGCGAAGCCGCAGCTTGATCAGATCAAGGCCCTCATTGCCAAAGGCCAGTGCTTTATTTGTCACGAACACGGTCATCGCAGCAACGATTGCTCGGCTAAGGACGACTTTGAGAAACAGAAAGAAGCTCGAATTAACGCTCTCTCTGCCAGACTTTTTGATGGAGCGAATGGAGGTTCGATTGCTGCTCAGATCGCTGCCTTGCAATCAAAAGACCGACCCTAGGACAAGTTGCCACCCATCCTAGGGGACCACATCTGATTTCAGCGCTGGACATTGATGATTGCCAGAAGATACCCTTTAATTTTCTTTCACAGCTGTTGGGAGGGACCCATTGTTGCTAAACTGTATAATAGTTAATATAGAATTTCTCTCATAACCCAATGCCTCGCTGATACAGGTGTAGGTGCATATATTTTGATAAGCACGTATTTTGTCAGACAAGTAATCGATCTTCTTCAAGCTGAAGAGATCACTAGGTTTGAACCTGCCGCGGTCTCTAGATACGATGGCAAGTCCGAGCAAAAGGTTGATCTTGCGCTCCTCGCTCACTTCCGTATACAAGGGAGGATGATACATGATACGACATTACTTGTACTTGATATGAAACACGACGTTATCATCGGCAAGAAGTTTTTCGAACGGCACGACGTCCTGGTTGACTGCTAAGAAAAGCGTTTACTCTTCCTATCCGAATGGATACCAGATTACCAAGCCTTTCACGAGATCTCCATGAACTCGGCAGGTAACTCCCTGAAGAACCCTACCTTTGATGATGACGTCATTCGACGTGCACAGTTGATGGAGATAGACGATAAACGTTGACGAGACTCAAGACACGCGCAAGATCCGAAACGCATGAAGTTCGGCTCTGTGACGATTATCCCTCTACTAACATAACGTGCCCAAACCGTAGAAGAGATGCTCGAGCCTCCTGAATATACGAACCGACGAGGTTCCACAACGCTTTTGGAAGATGTTGACCTGGCCCTGATCAATCAACGGATCGACCAACTGAGCAATGGTCATCACGCGGTAGATCTTAGTACGTTGAGGGACCAGGTTGCTGCTGAACAGCTTCCCAAAACAAGAACATCTACTGCTATCCTTCAGCCGCGACGTGGCAGTCATTATGAGGCTCCTTCTGACACCGACCGCATGAACGACCAGTTTGATTTTGATTATCACGACGACAAAACCCGACTACTGTTGAATGGGAGCCGGAGATAGACACCGGAAGATCTCCAGTGGGGCAGAGACGCACAGGGCATCTGACCCACCAAGAAGACAGATAATCAATCTCTGCACACAGAGCACAACAATCAATAGAATCAATCATCATCCGTGTATTCAACACCTGGCGTGGACAATAAGCTCAATCTAACCGCCGATCCCTCTGAGTTAGGCTACTCGCTATTATATAAGATGTCCTTAGAAGAAATGGAGGCTTGTCGCCTTTTTTCCCCTTCAACCAGAGTTCGTTATATGTTAATAGTTAATAAGGGTCCCTGTATCCTTTCAATACATTTATGGAATCGTGACATACCGTTCATAAGCTTTCAAATGAGGGCGAAGTTTTATCCGGTATTATAAATGGACGTTTTATTAAGTGATTTATTATTAATACGCTTATAAAGATCTTTTATAAGATTTTTACCGTGGTATTAAATACTGGCTTTTTAATTTTTAGTTTTAACTTTTTTATAATGAGGTTAAAAAATATTTCAATAAGGAATTAATACTACCTCAAACAAAGAGACGGCGAATGCGCTGCCTATTTCGGCATGTTCTGCCTCCAAGTCCGGCAGTGCATTTGCCAGCGATCCGACGCCGCTTTAAGCTGCATACCCCACCATGCCCCACCATGCCCATGGGCCTTATACTTCGATGTATCGTTCAAAGTACATCATGACCCAAATCCTGGACTCTTATTCAGTTCGGTATCTGGCACCGATGCTGTGTCCTTTCCCTTTCCTTGCTTGCTCGGCCTGTCAGCAGCATAACCAGAGATGGCTCATATATTCCTTTTAAATACCAGCTCTCTCGCTCTAGTTGGTCAATAATGTTTTTGTGTTTGCTCTTCCTCTTTACCTCCAGTTGAGTGAGCGCAACCTCTTCTAGTAAACTGCACTTATTATGATCGAGTATCCCTTATAGCATTACTAGCATGGCCCGTCAACGCGTCCACGATGACCCATGCGACTCACAAGTCACTGATGACCTGTACGACACAGACTCATCTTTCTCCGCAGTAAGGGATGCAGATGCTAACGACTTCCTTGACGTGGACGAGGATGTATCCAGCCAAGAGAGCGACATGACGGACATAGAGGACTTCAGTGACAACAATTTCAATGTTGCAGATCAAGTCCACCTCTTTGCAGGGAATGTTCATCCGCCGGAATACTACCAGAAGGCGCTACAAGAGTTCAACAAGAGTGCTTTTGACGGCGGAAATTACAGTCCTGGAAGCACAGTGCTACTTGACGTAATCGAGAAGCAGTGGCGGACGTAAGTCATTCTAGTGCTTTATTTCTTTTCATACTAATAATATTTTTCTTGCAGGTTCTGTACCAACGTAGTGGGACGGGATCCCCAGACTTGCTTTGAGTCTATTGATATCCGTCTCCTCCACAACTTTTTCAATTGGTCTTTGAACCAAATGGTTGGCAAGAATGGACGGAAAAAAAGGGGAACGAAGAAGAGCAGCTCACTTGTCACAACGCGTAAATAGGATGAGGACATAAAAGTCCTGATTGCACTACCTACGTGTAAGAATCTCTTGGTGGGAAGGGAAAGAAGGATCTGACCCGCCAGCCCATTATAGTGGGATTAATAATCCTTCCATCCGCCCCACTATTACCTAGCCTAGTACAGTTGTGGCCACACGTCTTGTGCGCCAGGTCATGTGATGCTGTGCACAGGCCACCCTGATGGATTGACAGACTTCCAGAAGGTCAGACCATCACATCACTAGGCACAAATTGGAAGGTCTTTTGTCTTGTGTATGAGACGGCCATGGGTACGAAGCTTGATCCGAAATTGAATCGCAACATGCATACGGTAAGTAGGAATTTGATGACCCACCAAAGACCTATTTCTAATATTTTCTTTCAGGTCTTAAGATCACTAGCAAAGAAACACAAACTGAGCGACCAAAAGAGGGAAAACCGCTGTATGACCATTGACGACCTCAAAGCGCAGATTGAGACAACACTGAGCACGACAAGGAAGCCGTTTGACCTGGGGGAGCTCCGGATTTTTACCGTTTTATTTCTTCTCTTCCTAGCTCCTGCCGGCTCGCGCTCAAAATCCATCTTGCGGCTCTGATTTGGAGATATTCGGGTTGTATTAGCGAGAGATCCGGACAGCGGGCCACACAAGCTTTTGATCAAGTTTATTCCCGAGTTTACTAAGACGTACCTTGGGACAAAAGATGCATAAGTGTTTTATCCTGGCAACTTGGGGCTCTTTGATATTAATACCACAGGTGCTTTAGTAAGACGTTCACGATCCCCAAAACCATGTTTGATCCATCTTTGCTTCTCAGCCTTCATGTCTTCCTCCTTGGCATCTTGTTCCAATATCAAGCTTTCTGGGCTCCTAGCCTTGTCTGTTCTCGCCATCTAGACGATCTTGATATCCACCCCGGCGAGAAGGAGTTGCCTTTGCCACTCAAAAACGACCTCAAAGACGTATGCATATTCCGCCGAGTCATTACAACCGCTACCGGGTTGCAGATATCACAGGCGAAACCCATCACCTATGGCATGATGTCGGGATAGATTAAGAGGATTGGAGAGATTTTAAGCCTTTAATACCCAATCATCGCATATTCATTGCGCTATAATGCAGGCAATGAATTGGATCAGAGCCGTATATTCTACCTGTACTTCCAAGGAATCTATTGTGCTGATATTCTAATGCAACCGACGTTAGTGAAGCACTCCGTAACCTGACGCTAGACCACGCCAATTCGATCCCTTTCCAAAAGCATTACCTCGGTCGCGCTGTTCGCGCAGACCTGTGGGAAATCCTTTGCGGCTAGAAGCCGCAACAAGCACTATTAAAATAATCCTGCAGTATCGGTCATTTGATGAGCAAGCGGCGGCCAGTAGATCTTACTCCTGAGCAAGCGGCGTCCGTTAACACAAATCCCAACGTGAGGCGGCTTATAAGACAACTCAAAACCTACGACTAAGGACGAAACAGCAGATCGATGTACAGCGGGAACTTCGAAATTTATAACAGAGGCTGAAAAGGTTGCTCCTCCAAAAGATCCGAGAAGACTAGACAGACGAGCAGGCCATAGATGACATAGAACACCAATTGCAAGGCGTCACATTCTCCAAGCTCGTACCGGTGGACATAGCCCATCGTCCGCAACTTCCAGCGCAGAAACAACTAGTTAAGGCCCTAATTGCGCCTGTCGACCCTATTCTCTAAGGCCAATATCGACGAAAGAACGATGCCATCAATGCAATCATTACCTATTGTAGCGTTAAGGAAGGACAAACTTCACGTCGCAAATTCACCTCACCGACCAAGGAAGCACAATTCAAACCCACGCTTGGGCCCCCAGAGGATAACCCCGTTTCTATTGCTAGGCTGTCTATGTTTGTTCGCAATGACAGAGAAAGACCTAGGAGATGCTTCCTATGCATTAAAGCTGCGCTTCCTCTGGAGCCTGATGACCCTCCTGTAAAAGATCTCACGTATGAATTCTACACCCCCGGAGATCTGACGAAGCACTTTAAGCGGAAACATTTATCCCTTTTGGCGCAAGATTCGACATCAGAATGTGAAGTCTGCAATTTCACACTGTCTTCTAAGATGCATCTACAAAACCATGCCTTGCGGGTTCACGGCACTGTGTCATAAGGGCTTTCATGTATCCAAATGTAGTAAAGCTGGGAATTAGGTAATGGGGACATACAGGTGATACGGGGTCTTGGAAACAGCGGATAATAACTTGAATTTACCAAAGTGCGTTTTATTAGATATAGTCCTACTGAACAATTTTGAAGATAGATTATATTATGTATATGTGAGGTTCTTTGTCAATCTTGTGTTTTCTATCTGTATGCTGATGGCTCGGTCCACCTGACCTGCCTCGCCCAACACCGCCTATCTGATCAAGACGCCTGCTCAATCCAGAAATCGGGCACCGCATGCTTGTCCAGACACCGCCTGCATAGATCAGACACCGTCTGCTTAGATCGGACACCGCCTTTAAATCAGGTGAGTGTAGAGTAGGCAAATCTAGTAGGCGGTGAATGAGCGGAGTAGGCGCTAAGTAAGAGGGCAGGCAGGCAGTGAGTGAATGGGTAGGCAGTGAGATAGATAGGTAGGCGGTAAGAGAAAAGGGCAGGCAGTGAGCTGTAGGTAGGGATGGGGCGGGGTTTAGGTAGCTGGTGACACTGAGATGGTATGGGGTCTACGCTTCCTTCATCTGGTACGTGCGTAAATTTGCGTTGTGTGCCATTATTTTCTCGCGTATTGCCACTCTCGCGCATGCCGTTACCCGTCTCGTAACCTCGAGAGTTCTTGGCTAGATACTGCCTAGTAGGTATATCTTTCCTTATTCAAACTATTTGATACTGTTAGGTGCGACTCCTCGCATGCCTTCATCACGCTCGTTTGATTTTGTATTGATCTAAGAAACCACTTTGCCGAATAAACATATGTCACTATAGTTCCAAATGCTTTGACACGAAGCCCAAGGTACGCACTCCTATTCGACGTTGCCCTCGTTCCTCCCGCGCATGGTGCTATGCGATACGAGCTGACTCAGCTTGCTGTCTATCTTAAGTTTGACGCACTCGAGTCGGTGACTGCGTATGTCTTTTTGAAGGCAGGGTTCAAACACGAAGCCCGAAGTAAGCACTCTCATTCAATGTGACCCTTTTTTATCTCATGTATAGTGTCATATGTCACGTACCCTTCCTAGAGGGCTAGCTGTCATCCTAGTACTATGAACAATGGTTTGACCCACCATTGAAGTATATCTCTTCAGCCTTACTACCAGACGGACTAACAAAGTACTCGAGATAGTACATTAATGCTTCGCCCATACCTTGGCGCATTTTAAACAGGACTTTGGCAGCTCCTTTAGGACCTCGAACAAAATTCTTGGCTTGGACTTATAGACTTTCTTGTACCTCGGGCATAAAAGCTCCAGGGCTTTCTCTCGCCGGTATGGGTTTTTGGAGTGGATTCTTATAGTAATAGTCTCAAGAAAAGGATAACAATTATTCCCACAAAGCCTGGGCCCCTGCGAGTTCAGATCCAAAATCGCCGCTGCTGGCTCCAAGCACTCGAATGTGCTGAATTCGATACCCGGAGTGAAGCCGCTCCGGAGAGTGTAAGTACTATAGATATAGCCTGGAGGCAGGTAGATTGCTTGATTTTCTGTCTGAATACAGAATTCACCGCCTTCAAGCCGGCCTTAGAGCTTGATAAAGGCGGCATCAGATCGGTGTGCTACAAAGAATTCTTGGATATTAAGAGGAGTCAAGGGATAAAGTGCCCAAAGCTTGACACATCCTCCATGGAGCAGCGTGACACCATGTTTTCCGTGGTCTAGATATATTGTCTCGTTAACATATCGCTTGCAGCATGATCAGATCTCACGTACCAACATGGAGCCCCGCAGCTGAATACTTAAGAGTAACATTTGTCATCATGATAGGGCGGATATCTTGATATATAGAGACCTGTCCAAATAGTCGCTCTGGGATCTTGATTTTGACTGACTCAGCGGCCATATTGATAGCGTATAGAGTAGACGATGGATCCAGATTGTCCAATTATCGCATAACAATTTGAAAACGCGGCTTATTGAGAGGATTAGAAGGATTACGTCGAGAGTAGATTTTTGTCGTCTCTTTCCGAAACCCATGAAGCAGGTCTGTAAGATAGTCCTCTGAAGACGGCTTTTCCTTCCAACATTCGACTACAGGAAAAAACATGGGAGATCGTAACCCAAGGCCGGCCCAGTTCCGAGTCACCGCCATTTATCTAGACGGATTGAGATTTGACAGTCCGCCAGTCCTTTTGATCTCCCTTGCGTACGCAGAAGATAGATACAATAAAGGGCCACCCATGATGCTGAAGAATTCCTGCATAAGCAAATCTATCTCGTCTTTCGGGGGGGTTGCTATGATCTGTGCTTCAGCTAACGGCTGAAGATCAGAAAGGTGGCCGGTCTTTATAAAACGTAATTAGTAAGGCGAAAAAGATGATAAAACCCATATTTTGTAGTTTAAATAATAAGATCACTTACTGGATGTGCTTTCTGCTATGCATTGTCTTTGTGTATTTGGGTTCTAATGTGCCTTTCTTTCCCTTTCTCGATATAATGACATTGCAGATTTTATAAGTTATCTGATGTGTCTCATTATGCCGTTGTTGGTGGCGTACAAAGTTACTTCTCGAGATCTGTCTGTTACATGCATCGCAGGTTCGACAGTCTGACATCTCTGAACCTCCGATTGAAAAGGGGGTCGATAAACTCTATAAAGGCCGAGAAGGAGGGGGACGAGGGGGGGATGAGGGGGGACGAGAGGGGGATGAGGGGGGACGAGAGGGGGACGAGAGGAGACAATGAGTGGTGGTGCTTATGGGTCTAGCTTGTCCTCAGATACGGCTAGGCTGGCTTTATGTGAGCCAAAACCCTACCATCAAGTCATCTTGCTTCCCCCACCCCGGGCGGTGGTAGGCACACCCCACCCTCTTTCTGGCCTCTAATTCGTTCACATACAGTGCCCTCGGTGTAGCTGCCTTTCCTAGTATACGAACATCTTAACGACAGGGATTAAAACCATGTTTTCCTATGCCTATTTCAACAGCTATAAACCAACTATATGCATATATCCGCATATTGATAGAGGCCCTGGCCAGTAATTCAGGAGACCCATTCCCATCCTGCCGAATTAGGTATTGACATCGAACAAGATGCGCGTTCTTACGCGACCAACCGTGACTCAGGTTTGGTGTCAGTGTGAGCTGAATCAGGAAAGGTGCCTTCTGAACTTCGTTCAATCCAACATTGCCCACATCCTGCCCAATTGTGGCAGATGCAGTCTAACGCACCACGATGGGCTAGTAATTCCCGGACCAGCAGGGTGTGGGGGAATGATTCTACAGGGTGTGGGGGAATGGTTCTTCAGAGCGCGAACGGACCAGAGTTAGTAAGCATACTTATTTTCTGGCCTCTGTATGGGGCTATTGCCTTTAAACTGGGCGCTCGAGTTCTCAGGCGGCAAGGTGCAGGAAGGCTGAATGAAGGGTCTCCTAGCAGGTTTGCCCTTCGCGGTCAAGTCTGTAGCGATGGTGGCAATGCCATTACACCAAATATCATAGCGGGGACAGATTCTTGATTTGAATAACTTCTCGAATATCTGCGATGCTCCCCTCCTACCGAGGGTCAAGGTAATGGTTGCTCCCCTGGCTGTATCAGCGCAATCTGACAAAGTTACACAGCGAGTGGCCACCAGCGGACCTGCATCCTCCACTTCATGTTTGCGATCATAACACCCTCACGCCACTAGAATCCTGGCTTCTGATTGGTCCAGTTAGGACCTATCAGTCACCATTGTTATGATTATCTGGTCACCCTGATGGCACACCTGTACATATATATAGGGGCTTCTCCCCTAGAGATCTTCTTCTCTTTCTTTTCTAATACAGAACGCTTTGAAATCTCACACCTAATGGCTTTGTCGGCCTTGAGCTGCGGGTGCTCCATCTTTGCAGTCTCGACTGGAATCATCGCTTTGGAAGGCTGAGGCAGGAATAGCCCTAGACGCTGCGGTCGAGACGTGTCGGATGCAAGATGGGTCAGCCGATACGAGATCAGGTTCATGACACAGCCTTGATGGAAGCCCCTGTTGCGATCGACAGCGCAAGGCCAGAGGTAAAAGTTGCCTCGCGAGGCCCTGGCAGCCTAGGTCTCATCGGAGCCTGTGACCGACCAAGAGTCGTTTTAGATCTGCAGCCACCCTGGACTCTTCACGCCTAAAAGCGGCGAGGTTTAGATCTGGATGCCAATCACCATGCATAGCTACGCCTGGATGTCGGTAAGGCTCCGTGCGGGCTGCGTGGCGGGCCAAGGTAGGAATCGATCAAGTGGCGGGCCAACGGCGAAGACGAGGAAAAGGAGAACAGGCATGCATCCATGTCTCGGCTGGTTCGCTCTGACTTCTAGTGAAAAATATCGTTGCCGCAGAGCCTGAATTTATCTAAGATCAATACCGCACCTCTCAATCTGATGGGTTGGGACCATGAAGTCTCGTAACCCTCGAAGTAAGCACCGAGTCTTTCGCACTGCATTCATTGCCTGCAATCACTAATCACACATGACAGAAGCCCTTGATGTTATCGCAACACTGTATTGATACACAAGCAAACTAAAGAGTGACACACAAGCAAACTAACAGCGAACAACTACTCGAGGCACGCCCATTGCCGTACACAGATACATGAGAACCATCCCGCCCCCAAAGCGATGACCCTATCCCAGTCGTAACTCGTACTCCACAAGCAAGGCTATACCTAAGCGGAGGAGACCTTGTGCGGGCCGAACTTGGCCGCCACCTTCTCAAAGACACCGCCCAGCCCAAGAGACACGACAAAGTTTTCGATCCTGCTGGACTTGGTCGCGTCGGCTGCCTCGGCCTCTGTAGCCACCTTGCCAGAGTCCATGGCTTTGATCTCCTCCTTCTCCCTCTCTCCGGAGCCGCAGAAGGGCCCACCGAGATGTGAGAGGATATCCATGCTGCAGATTTCCTCGCCCACGATGGTAAGGCCGATTGTCTTGAGGTTGCCGGCGAAATAATCGTTCTTGTCGGCCTTTTGAATGAGCTTCAGGAGGCCCTTTTCGACGATCGCGGCGCAGGCCGCGCACTTGCTGTCGCCCTTCCAGTCGATCGAGCGCCTGTCCAGGGAGACTAAGTCGTCGGCAGAGCGGGCGACGGCGGTGTTGATGCTGTCCAAGTCCAGGGAGCTGGTGTCGGGGGAGCGGACGACGGCGGCGTTGACGTTGCCCAGGGCCATGGTGGCCACCAGGACGTTGAGTGCGGCTTGGTAGTGCATCTTGAATGGAGGTGTCGTAGAAAAGGGTTGAGTTGTCGTAGAGAGTGGGCTTGGTCGAGGCTGTTATGGATGCGTTGCTGTTGTGGATGTGTTGCTGGTTGTGGATGTGTTGCTGGTTGTGGATTTGTTACTGATGGTGTTGATGATGATGATGAGACAGGAGAAGACCTTTCGAAGCAGAAGATCGGGCAGATACTTATACGTCTTGGCTCTCTACAACTTCTATTTTGGGAGTGCTCGACTTCCACGACTGTCAGCCTCCTAACTGGCAAGATGGTGTGAGGCCATCCATCGTGGCCCGCTGGATTGCCACCATAGTGGAGGTTTGAACTTTGTGTGCCCTCTGCCCCTTCGATAGTGGCCAAAGGTGACGTGGTTTCCTCGAGTCCGTCCCCGTCAGGAACAGGCAGTCATGGATAGAATCAACTGCGATATACAGTCAAGTCCGACGGACGGGCCGACGGAGGAACAGAAATAATCGAGGACTTGGCCGGGCTGGCGCCAGAAAGACGTCACCGGAACTATATGTAGCTGGTGGAAGAAGCCTACTGATATGGCCGTACTGCGGATATAAAAGTGCTGGAGACTCCAGTTGGGCGGTGGGCCGCTCCTGAGTCCCCATCGTGTGCAGGCTTCAGTATTCCTTCGGTCACCGGGTCTAGTCTATGTCTATATGGTAATCAACCTCGACCGTTCCATCGACCCGCTGAGATCATCTCATAATTAGCAACTACCTATTTGCTCCAGCACCCTGTAGCCTACCAGGCTACGAGATAAGTCTAGCTGTCGTCAGCGACTAAAGGGGCAAGTGCTCCCAAAGCAACCGCCGTTATCTGTCTCTTGCACCCTGGCTGCCTGGTATCTCAAGGTGGAATTAAGTTTTGGATCGCCGCGTCCCGCTTCCTTCTTCCTTCACGCCAAGAGGAACACACGATCCACCCAACGGTGCCGAATGAAGCATCTGACTACTTGTCCACTTGACAGGATAATAAGAGATCTGGCTTATGTACACAAGCTTCAGACAAGCTTTACGTATGGGATTGACCACACACCAGTGCTCCATCCGGAGCCTCAATCTTTCGCATGCATCACCTTCTTGCCAAGTCATCCCTATCATACGCCTTCACCACAATTCAGTCATGTTATTTTTCTTGGTCCCCATCGATATTTTGCTCAAGGTTGCGGCGGAGCCTGAATTGATTCCACATCATCGGTAACTAACCTCTCAATCTGCTGGGTTGGGAGCACGAGGTCTCCTTCGTCGCCGAGTTCTTCCCAATGCCATAAAGGTACACTATGCCCTCTAGAAAACAGTACCAGAACAAGGACTGGCTACTGCCCTTGGCCGCAATGCCCCCGCAGCCCATTTTCCCCGAAACACAAGTTGGATGATCTGATCTTGGAATACGACTGACTCGACGAACCTCCCAAACGACGACAATGTCAAATGACGACGTTGAAACCATCCTCTCCATACCCGCGAAAACACGACTGTCCTGAGTACCATGGCTGGCAAGCCACTATCGACACCCATCATTAGACCAAGACGGATCTTCATGCTTTGAAATGCCTCGTCAACTTCGTCCCTTTGTGCCTACGAGTTTCCACGGCCTCAAATCCGACGAGTGCCTTCACTTCCATGCGCCACAGTCTAGTCCTTCCTCAGAACTGTGTGGATGGTCGTCATCGGTGTCCCCAACGGAGATGCGGTGACCTCCCCCTATAATGGTAGTTGAGGGTCCAAATGAGATGTGGAAGCCATATCAACCCTGATTCTGGGTATGGGCGGTATTGGCAGAAACATGGCGCGCAAGGCGATCGTCTTCGGCATGCGCGTGCGCTACTATAACCGCTCGCGGCTGGACCCGGAGCTGGAGGAGGAGTGCGGCGCCGAGTATGTGAGCTTCGACGAATTGCTGGCGCAGAGCGATGTGCTGAGTCTGAATCTGCCGTTGAATGCGCGTGACGTGCCCCTTTCCAATTCCGCCCATCCAACCCCCGTATTATGATCACTCTACGGATGGAACATGGATCCATACACGGAAAAGCGTAACGCTTGGCCATGCCGGAGGAAATCATCACCACGCGCCTCCTTGGCATGCAGAAACCTAACATTACTGACACGAATGACCCCAACACCTTATTGTTAGTGACCATGAGTCTATCGATGCTTGTGACAAATGCTTCAACCGGGCTTGTAAGTCTGAATTCATGCAGCGTAGCAACACATGCCATTCATCTACCGCTTTGGCCACGCATGAAACAAGTCCTGTAATAGAAACAAGTCCTGTACCATGCCCCACGCACCACTCGGCCACCCCCACCACTCGGACTGCAAAATCTACTGCCACACACCAAAACATCAACAACTTCACTTACAGCGAAATCAGTCAATTCAGGGTGTTTTCGGCTGCGAAAACGTGCAATCTACTCGTCGATGGCGGTTTAGTTATCGTATCTAGCCGGCCGGCGACTCTGTCGGCCCGAACGGGTCTCCCTAGCGGCCACGATCTCCTCTTCCGAATCAGAGCTTTTATCCTCTTTCTCCTCATCAGTGGTATCTTCAACAACCACAAGCTGCGCGGCCCTGCGGCCTCTCTCAGGCTATTCCTCACTAGCTGCCAGAATATCCGGGATATTTTTGAAGGGTTTATTCGGGTTGGTGATCTTTCTGTGCTTTTTAGGGCGTATGCGGTCCAGTTCGGCCTCCAGGCTCTCGATCTTTTGGTCCTTTAGCACCATCTCTCCTGATTGCTTCTCAAAAGCATTCGCAACCTTGCGTAACTCCAGCCGAGTGGTTGGGGACTTGTTTTTGCCCATATCCATGATTTGGCGGCTATTTTCGGGCGTCTGGAAGTCTTCAGGTTCTGAATTTTTGACCTGTTCAGGCTCAGGGGTTGCGGCCTTATCCTGTTGGATTTCTGGATGCGACAACGCCTTTCTATGGTTAATAGGCCAATTGCCAGTAGTTCTAAAGCCAGCCTGACAATTTTTGACCGTCAGGCCGTCGTTCCTCGCCTTGGAGTAGCATCTGATGAAGTTGATCTTGTCCACAGGGGCAGCATCAGTCAGAGTAGCTAACTGAGCGACATGCTTATGGTAAGCAGCTTTCACGGCGTTAAAGGGGCCGTTATCGAGTGGTTGAAGCCCGTGGGAGGTGTGTGCTGGAAGAAAACAAAGCTGAATGTTACTTAAGAAGCACGTAGTTATGAATTCATCCTACCGCTAAATGGTTAGCTATACATCTATCGATTTTAAACGTAATAAAATAGAGAAAAATAAAGGAGTTAGTACGTACAGAGATATGGCTCTTGTGCCCATTAAGGATCAAGAGTACCGCTTCAGAATTATCATCTTCTCGTACCTGGTTGGCTTAAAGGAGGAAAACACTCTCCAACCACTCCACAGCGACTGCGTTATCCGTCCAGCCATTATCAGTGCATATATAATGCCAGGGGGCGATCTCTCTGAACTCCCCAAGGAACCACTGGGCCTGGAGATCTTTTCCTTTGAATATAATGCCTGGCGTGAGGGCCTTGCGCGTAGCGGAGATGGCCTCAATGAAGGAGGTCCAGCCGCGGCCTTGGTCGCTGGTATTTTTTGTCTCTGAGCTGCCTAAAACGAGACCATCAAGCCCTAGATGGGTTATTTAATGGATAAATGCAACAGGGGATTATTCAGGGATTCTTTAGGAGCTTTCCCATACCGAAACCCGCCATGATACCGCCTTCATCCACGTTGTACGTGTTCTGGGGCTTCACCCAATCGAAATCCTCGCGATGATCGAAGTACCAGTTAACAGACTTCGGCGTAAAGCCCTTAAATCGAGCGGCTTCCTGTCTGCGGCCAATTTTCGTCTTTATTTGGGGGTTACAGCGAAGAAATCAATCCATCCAGTTCTTCCCAACTGTCTCAGTGATGCCGTTCAACTTGGAGGTACCGTAGCCTGAACGATTGCCTTGACGGCGCTATGCGATGGGGCGAGCCCCAGAGACTCTTGACGAAGTATCCACTGGGCTAGGTGTGTTTCCTGCTCGTTGGATAGTCTTCTTTTTAGCTGCTGCGTCTCTCCCTTTGAGGGTTTGCCGTTGAGGCGGTCAGACAGTGTCTGCTTATGGATACCCCATTTCTGAGCGGATTTTCGGACCGACAGCTTGTTATCGGTGACATCTAGTATGGCATCTGCCATAATATCCTCCGTATAAGAAGGCATTTCGAGAGTCACGATGCTGCGTTGCATACAGAAGAAGAAGAGAACAGGTGCATAAAGAGCAAATTTGCCCTTATGAGGGGTAAAAACCACGGGCGGGGGGACCCCTCATCGCCGGGTCTGGCTAAAAGGATCTACATGGGGTAAACCTCAAGAAAAGAGCAATTCAGCGAACTAATTACATCGTAAATCCCTTCAAAAACAGCTGGATTCGGTATAAGTGAAGTTATTGATGTTTTGGTGTGTGGCAGTAGATTTTGCAGTCCGAGTGGTGGGGGTGGCCGAGTGGTGGGTGGGACATGGTAATATGGGTTTAAGCCCAATCAGTTGCCATATTAAAGACTCAATTAAATTCGTTCGCTGTGAACGACTTATTGGGGTATATCCATTGTGTATCCATCCGCTTTATTCCCAAACCTTACAAACCATACCAATTAAGCCAACCAGACCGCCACTGCAAATGCAAAAACCAGCGCTGCAACCGAGCCCGCGCTCCCCAGTCTCGCTGCGCCCGAGTGGTCATCATCATTGTCATGATAACACTGTCGGCGGACTGGAACCTCACCAACCAGGAGCGGGTGGTAGATCAGTCAACCAGCCACTTCTGGGCATACTTATGGGAAGCAAATCACAGGCTGCGTAATGAAGCAGCGCCAGACAGAGACCAGGCAGAACTCGAAAAGGATTGTGCCAACCGTTTAGCTAATATAGTGTCAGACGTTGAGGCCGACGCAAATATCTACCGTCTTCATCTGGATGCAGCGCATTGCCGCAGGGTGTTTTTTACAGAAGATCAAACATATATTGGTCTTGGGCCAAGTATCATGCAGGAAAATGATATTCTGTGTATACTTTTTGGAGGAGCGACACCGATGGTCCTGCGACCTGTTGGGGATTCTTATCTCTTTATCGGTGAGTGTTACGTATATAGTCTAATGAGTGGCGAGGCAATTAAGGACTGGCAGAAGGGGCAATATATAGTAGAAACGTTTCAATTGATTTAGATTATTGCGAGTTACTTTACTTGACTCATATATCCTTGTTATGACATAAAATAGAACAATCAAAGCGTTACAAACAATGCTGTGAGATTCGAAATGTTAGATTTTAAAAAAGAAACCATGATAGGTATGGGTGTTACATTCCCCTATAAAGAAACAGAAGAATGGCCTTGATGGACTATCTAGCAAGGTGATCCATCAGGATGACCATATATATTGCTCAACAAGGCTCTGGATGATCTCACAATAGGCGTTGCGATCCGGTGGCTAATAGGGGGCATTTTTTGGGGGCTAGCAGCCCTGTAATTAGTGGATGTTACAGCGGCTGCCCTATTAAGCACATATTCCAAAAAATGCTCATGGCGACAGGTTTCCTAACAGATCTTAAGCGGATCAGTAATAAAACAGGTACAAGAACTCATGAAATCATCCATCTATCCGAATATCAATGGAGTTTGAATCTCTTCTTAAATGTCGACGCGCAGGCCAGGCCCTCTTCATTCACTTCATATAAAGTACTTGGGACTATCGTCGCAACGCGTTATCCATTATCCTTAGCCAAGAACGTTCTAAGTGTGTACTACTGCGCCAGGTATAATGGCCACAGCCCACTGAGCCAGCCCGTTAGAGGCGGGGGCGGGGTGGAAGCTGAATGAGGGGCTTGGGCGACACTAGGTTTCAAGTCCGTTGCTGGATTTAGGGGAAGGCCATGCCACTGCTCTTCTGTAATCAAATATATTTCCCCGCCTGGGCGTTCATCTGCGTCCAAGTATGGTCTTTCTGTTCACAATAGATAGCGGCAATACCAGCACACTACAGACACATGTAAGCGCACACAAACTTATAAACGATTGAAGCTTGGCTCCAGACTTTCGTTAACCCGGACTGACACAATGAGCCCCGAGCCGACAACAAGTCCCAAGCCGAGACACATCGATGCGAGACGGCAGGCCAAACTCGAGCATGAGGCGCGGGCATTGAGCAAGGGCCACATGCCGCGAACGTCATTGTGGTGTCCGCAATGAGTGCCGGGATGTGGCGCAGGGGCTGATTGACCGAACATGGCCCGGCTGTGATGTAAGCCGCAACGAGTAGGTGGGCTCGTGTAAGTAAGGCTACCGCCCTCACTCACTGACGACTTGGAGTTCATCGCAAGGCAGATTTTGCCTTACTAGGCTTCGACCATCCCATTCATTATGCCAATAACAATGTGTTTTTAAGGCCGATCACTTGCCGATCTTGGCTGTTTGCAGGAAGCATCATCATCTGACTGCATTTCATAGCCTGCATCTAATTGCACAATCCTCGTTCCATCCGAGCGATGCGTCCAATATCTGCCAGCCTGCCGTCGAACACCGAGTTGGCATAGTCTTGACCGACGAGGAGACGAGGTTCCCATCACAGAAGAAGTGGTCAAGGCGGCAGCAGAGAACAAGAGGAATGGCAAGGAGGTGATGGCGCTGCTTCTTGACCGAAGCCTACCGACCAGATCGTTCATCTCTAGTGCTGTTTGACGTATTGCTGCTGCTTGTGGCCAACTCGACATTCTTCGCTTCCTGTCCTGCCAAGCCTGTATCGTCACTGTTCAAGAGGAAAACTTTGCTATCGCCAGTCTGTATAACACGACAGCATCAGGAACTACAACCACAGTGAAAAAGCTTCTCCAGACCGGAACATCACCAGATACACAGAACATATGGGGTATGACACCATTGTGGATCGCAGCAGCACATGGTCACGAACAGGTAGTCCGCCAACTCCTGACCACGAATGAAGTCAGCATTATCTCGAAGACAACTATTTGAAATGCACTTCATACTTGGCCGTCTTACGATCAAGGAGACACTACTCTCATGGTAACAAGAAAGAATGGGCACAACAGAATCGCTGAGATTCTTGAGCAGTGACTGTTTCTGAGTTTAGCAACTTGACTTCCTTAATAAAAAGTGTCAGATGGTTAGGAAGCAAGGAAAATGACTATACCGTCATATATAAGTATTGCAGTGCGTGTTTAAACCGAGCGGCTTGCGGGCTGTTCGTGCTTGGCGTTTAAAACAGCATAGGCGACAATGGCACCTTATTCTTTTCTACCTGTCGATCTCTTAACGTTTGGGCCAGTTTACAGGGCGCAGTGTTTGACGATGTGAAGAGCCTTGTGTTTGTTAATACATTTTACTCCGTTGCTGCTGCCATTATTTAAATACTGACGTCTGCCATAGGAGCGCCACTGTCGTTGTCCATGATCCACCCGGTGATCCGATTACAGCCAGGGTGATAGGCCGTCTCTTCTAAGACCCATTCTGCCTCGTCCCGAAACGATGAAGCAGCCAATGCCATTGCCTCGTCCATGCCGACCTCCTGGGCTTCGAATGCCATCAGCAGCCTGGCCAGCAGCTGAGGGACAACTTCATCTGCAAGCCCATCGCGGAAGGCAACTGCTGTCGATCGAATGTTCTGCAGGGTCTCGCGTATGGTAATATGGTCGTGGCGGGTACTGTCGTATAGACTTACGGCCCCATCGTCGTTGGCGCATGGGAAATGATGCTATCGAGGGCTGCGTGCTGGGTCGGACTTCTTGCCACAGCTCAAACAGCAAGCCAAAGCGGCGCCCTTAACTCTTGCCGTTTGATAGCTAGCAGTGTCTATCATATTGAACAGGGGTGGAGTTTTGGATATAACATAGATGGCGGTAGTATCGAGGGTGTCGGAGGGCAGGTCCGTAGGTAAGGCGTCGCGTGGATTGGGTTTGATAGAGAAGGATATTTGGAGCCAAGTCTCTATGCGCACATCCAGTTCGTAGTTGTAACATCAAGGGAGGAAAGGAGCAAAGGAGCTTGTGACCAAAACAAAAACATGTTGACAAGACCGGCTGATCTAAGAACCTACCTGCCAACTGGGAGCACAATGGTTATGATTAAATGGGTAGCGGAGGGGTCGAAGGCAGGTAGTGAAGCCAAAGGAATAGGCCTCCCCTCAGCTAAGGTAGTGAGTGCACAGATTAGCGATATTCTGCTTATGTCGTGGAATCTGTGCTGACAAGTACGTACCTTTTCTGCCAAACCATACCAAGGTACGTACCGATTCTGCCACACCTAGCCTTAGGTACGTACCTTTTCTGCCCATTCTATTCTGCCGGGCATAATGACAGTACGTACCTTTTCTGCCCATCTTATTCTGCAGGGCATAATGGCAGTACGTACCTTTTCTGCCCATCTTATTCTGCTAGCATAACGACGGTATGTATCCTTTCAGCCCGTCTTACTCTGCCAGGGCCTGCCATATGGCCTATGACATCAATCTACTGACTTGTCTTTTCTAATAAAGTCACGCCGATTAAACCTATATAACTTTGAATATACACTGCATAACGTCAACATCTATCAAACAAAAGCGCCCTTAAACTACAAGCAAACGCAACAAAGACAATGAAATACCTTATGAACAAGCCTCTGATAAGATACTATTCACCCTGTTATACCTCTCAGCCTTCCTTTGACATAGTGGCCCAATGCTTTGAGACGGCCCCTTCGTTTCGGTGCAACTTCTTCGCAATCCACAGCCATCCCTTTTCTTCTGCCACCCACACCCGCAGTTAAAGTTCTTTGAGTTCTATCCATCGACTTCTCTTGACCACTGTATCGTCCTCTTTTCCTGAATTGGCACTGTGGTCTAGGATAGAGTCATAACTACCTGCCTGGCTTCCTGCATCGCTATCGCTCTCGACACTTTTGATGCGTCCGTTTCGCATGCTGTATAGAGGTATTGACATCATAAAAGGAATAACAGAGGGGCTGCGAGCCACACCGTCATGGTAGCGATTCATATCTGCAGCCTGCCCGCCTTAGGCAAATCTCTGGGTGGTATGACTACGAATAAAACCAAGAAACAGCTGCATTATGGTCACACTGTTCTCCTTTTTATACAGAGCTTTAACCGAGTTGCATAACTCGAGGATATGCCCAGCGGAAAAGCCACAAGCGTCGCAACTTGCCACAAGTGATTCTGGAACTATAACAGTAGGAGAGGCAAGTATTCTTAAGCCAAGTACTTCGTGACCAGGCCTGCCACTATTTCGAGTGCTCGTATGAAGGTTCTTGTATTGTTGATTTCGGCTTTAAACTTTACGTGACCGAATTCGCTTGGTGTCTGCTACGCCCTCTGAGATAGGTGTTCTCTGTTTGATTCGGTCATGGAGGGATCGTCGACTGGCCTGTCGCTTCTCCATTAGAAGGTTTGCGAGCGGACTTTCTACAAGCCGCTTTCGACCATCAGATAACTGCTTGGTTTGGCTTGAGACATGATGAGGGATTGATCTGCCCAGTTTGTCTACTCGCATTCGAGAAGGCAGCAAGCGCAAGCTTCTTGGCGGTGTTGCCCTTTTTGTAATAGGGGAGGCAGCCGTCGGTAGATCCACAGATGATTCAGCCCAAGGGTGAATTTTGGTTTCTTCAATTTATTCTTTTGTCTGACTAGGGCTTAAGACAAGCTTATCAGAGTACCTCTCCCCATCAGATTCAGGATGGTTGTCACGAGACTTTGTGCAGCGGGGCCGGGAAATGTTGTTCAGAACGAGCTCGGAAGCATCGGGGTTCGGCATTAGAGCACCACTGCCAGGGTCAGTAGCCGAGGGTTTTTGGCACAATCGAGGAGATGGACCTTCGGAGAAATAGGTGACCGGTGTATCTGCAGATAGTTTGGCCGCTGGAAAAAGGGCTTCGGCATCTCCAAGGTCGTTTGTGTGGTCTAGGCTCGACGCAGGTGTGGCTTGGGACCAGGTAAAGCCATCAGGGTTAGTATTCTCCGGGCTGCTATAATTATGGTTATAGTCTTCAATACCTGCTATTGGGTGATAAGATCAGTCAAAGCTTTCTCGTGATAAGTATATTACTTACACATAGCCAAAGTGTTATTAATGTTATGGCAGGCTGATGATTGTTCTGTAGAAGCAGCGGCTTGGCAAAGGCTGATAGTACTGTCGTCCAAGTCTGTACTACCAGCATTTCTAATCAATGCGCTGGGCTGCCTTAAAATCTTTGCCGGGTCGTCATTGGGTGGTTTCCCGTGACTGAAAACTCCAGTGTCCTGTTCTAATGGGGTTTGAACAGTGAAACCTCCCCCAAGGGACAGCTGGACAGTCTGGGTCTGATAGCAGTTGAGTGCCTCATTATCGACTCAAGGGACAAGATTGCTGTGGATTGAAGGCATCTGGAGGAAGTTCATAGGTTGCTGAGGGTTTGTTTTTGATGTAGGAGCAGCAGTTGTTCGCTTCGGCTTTGGTTTCGGTGGCTGCCATGCCTTGAATTTCAGAGTAGACATTTGGACAAGACAAAGCAAGACTGAGTCAGAACACTTCCCCCCCAAGTGATCGAGGAAAGACGACTTATATACTTTACACCCTGCTATGAAACCCAGCTCTCAATTCATGTTAGTAGCAATGCCTGATTATCATCATGTACCAGGGGTTGCCGAGATAAGCCTAACGTGTTTGAAGTCCAGAATAGGTTATAGCTCTTAAGAAGGCGGTATATGACCATCTGCCACGTCTCTGCCTCCTTCCAATCCTTGACCATCTCAAAATAGCAATACCAGCGAAACATCATACGATAGTCTGTAGCCACATCTGATTCCATTTCACTAAGATCGTCAAGAACGGGTCAATGTCAGCCTCACGGGTTCTCCGGCGGTAAGACCCTTTCTGCAGATGGCTGTGAAGGAGTATACGACGTCTCACAAATGTTGACCTGGACTAATCGGGAAGCCCGTTAGGAGCCGGCTAGCCGGAGAGTCGCATCCGGCAAGGTTGAAAAGGGGTCACCAGCCATTCTCTCAGAGGTGCCTTAGCATGGGGATACGGGGCGCAGGAACAAGATACCCTGTCCACGGGAGACAAGGCGTTTACTCACGCTTACATAGCCTAATTCGCTCCACCTTGATTGTGGGTGATCCTGCCTTTAGTCCAGCTCGTCACTAGCTGGGAACAGGCATATGCAGATGGTAGCGAGGCTAAGACGAAAACTTCTTAGAGAGGTAAAACTAGGCTGAAGAGGTTGTCGTAGCGGGCAAGCAATGCCTTGTGACCCTTGTGATATTTTAGAGTGTCGTTAAGGCTGAAAGCAGTCGCTGGGAATGGTGCCAAGTTTGTTACATTGATCCTTTGTATCTTCCGCAGCTTTCGCCCAGGTACTGTAGCTTCGCGAAGACCTGGAAACTTTCTCAATGCAGGAGTTGCTTTTAACTGCCTACCACAACAAGGGTTGCAGGGTTGTAAGCAGTAATGCGTCAAATTAGTAGGTACCAGTCAAGGAGCATTCATCTGCTCAATGGCTTACCCCTGACAGCTTCAAGGTTCGTGCCACAAAGATACAGATACTGCCAGTCCAGGTGGCACCAGGCGGCATTTTAGTGCACGACTCCTTAACCAGGCGCACGCCACTTTGCATTTGTGAGCCCTCAGTAATTAGCATCAGCTTGACGGAGTCAAGAAGGCATAATGGATACATAATTCCCTAAAGAGGCAGTCTTGTTAGCATTGTAACCCTTGTGAGCATTTGTTGATACGTCGTATTGCTTCCATGGAAGGACCCCCTGCTGATGTTGAAAATCGAGACCAGAAACTGTTTCTAATAGATGGGTACCCCGTTTGAGATGACTATTGCCTTCCACTAAGCTCCATCGCCGCTGTGACATGCTGCAGGTATCGGGGGAGCCGCTGACCCTTCGGCCTTGTCCGGCGGGATATTGGGTCAAATTACGACTTGAACAATTAGTTGCCCGATGAGGAAAATCTGCTGCCGTTTCTCGCTTCTGGCATCACAAGCTGCTGGATGAGGAATTCATGCCCCTTGTAGTTCGGAGAAGGCCGTAACGGGGTGACGGCGCAAACCTTTGTGCCGTTTCTCACTGGGCAGGTTTACGGCTTGGCCAGAACATGACGTGAGGTGTTATTATACAAATCTAGTTACTCCTTCCATGGGCGCTCATGGAAGTACCCAAGTGGACTGCGACGAGTTGACTGTTTGGCCCATTCGGTGACTTATGAGGCAGCCACAGCACGCAAGTTTAAAGGCCAAGGATAAGTCACAAACAATATTGTAATGGCGCATGCGATGATAAAGCCATATGTTAATTGCAGGGTGTAAATATGCTGGAGGCTACTGATGCCACTGATGAACAAAGGCTATTCGGAACACAGACTGGGCTATGACGGAGTCAGGCGTAGCGTGGTTTGAACTGAGCAAAGAGAAGAAGAGGTACAAGTGGACTTGGGAGGTACATGAGGGGTTGATCCCATTTCTAGGTGCGCGAAAAGCAGCAAGAGGTTGCACGCCCGAGAATTGCCCGACAGGGCAGGTGCCCGAAATGGCATGTTCGAGCCA